AAGGGGTTACATCATTAAAATTAGCAGAATGGCCAAAAATTTTGATTTCTTAAAATTTTAAATTTTGTATGCAGTTTTTTTAAATTAATAAAAACTAACACAAAACTGCTTTCCGAATCGAAATTAATGCATTTTTGGCTTAGTTATTTAATTGTTACCTGCAAGGGTATACAAACTTTGGCTGGCCAAAGTTAGCTTTCTTTCTTGTTTGATTAGTTTACATACTGAGTGCATCTTATCCTACAGAATCTATCCTTTCGCTCAGTGTTTCTCACACAAAATGGTGCGGGGACATGTGTTGGCAACGTGCCTGCCGGCAAGTCAAACATTACGACATTACGCGCTTTCCAATTCACCTGTGAAAATCATTTTCTTCGTTTCCAGGCAAAAAAAAAACAAGAAAAAAAGCGAACGAGCGACAAGAATAAAAACAAAAAGTCGGCTTGAAGTCAGAGGCGGAATTTTTGGCGAATTTGCCTTGTCAAATGTTGAAGGAGACGTGACAAGCATTAGCTACAGCTACAACCTACGGAGAACAACCTACAACCTGTGCTCGCTCCATAATGTCGATGTCGCTGCATGTCTTCATGCAGGAAGAGGAATGGAGGCCCGAGGATTTTGTCCCGGGGAGAATTCCGCCGTGTATGTAGTTTGGCATATCATTTCGTCGCCAATTTGAAAATCGTTGATATGCATACGAGGCAGACGACATCCAGAGTGAGGTGTAAACACAGAGGACGTGCGTGTGGGGGTTAAGGGGTTGCCAATCAAATCACCTGCCACGATGTCGTCCTCTACACATCACAGGTATACAGGGAGTAACCAAAAAGTTGTGGTTCCCAAGTGCAAAGTGCTTTCTCCTGTTTTTTGACAGCCACAAAGACCTCAACTCAAAAACGCAGCTAACTGACTAAACCCATAAAAGTCTTTAAAATCAAATATTTGCCGGCAAAGGGCTGCAATATGCAAATGCAAATGGAAATGAAAATCGAATATTCGGAATTAAATGCGTGAGCGTTTGCTCGCCCAAAAAGTCGAGTAGTTTGTTGAATCAGGAATTACGGCAAATAAAACTACAATTGGTTCGCATTTACATTTCATTGAGTAAATTGCACAATTGCAAATGGCATTGCAGAGGGGGCGGAGGCGGGAAGTGAGAGGCCAAAGGACTTGATATACTCTAAATAAATGGCATAACATTTTCCCCCATTTCCCCTCTCGAACTCGCATGAGAGCACTTGCCTTTACCCCAGATGGAAGATGGCCTGAGAAATCACATAAAAATACAGTCTGTCAGACAGACACTGGGGAAACTCTCTCTGGGCGCTGCTCAAGTTCCTGGATTTTTATTGCCATATATCCGAACTTATGGCTGGCAATGCTCGAATAACAAAACGAAAGCGATAACGAAAACGAAAACATTTCGACTTCACTTGATGCTCACAAATTGTTTCTCAAATGAACAATTTTAAATTTTCACATTCAATAAATTGCTGCTGCCTTTTGGATGCCAACAAATTGCCGACTGGGGGGAGATGTATTTTCTTTGTTTTTCCTTATTGTTGTGTGTTTGGGTAAATGAAAAAACTTTTTTGTCAATTGTGTCGACTTATTATTAGCATTATCACTTTTTGTCTAGGTTTCAAATACACTTATCCAGGAGTAAATGAGAATTATGACAGATTATGGGGAAAATATATTTATAAACAAGAAGGGAAGCTAACTTCGGCACGCCGAAGTTTGTATACCCTTGCAGATTGGTTTCGATGCATATAAATGCAATTTAAATATGTAAATGTAATTGATGGAACACACAAATATGAATCAATAAAAGATGGTGAAATCAATGTGCAATTTTTTTGTGAAGGCAGCATTGATTTCGGACCGTTTGGGGAAAAATCTAATTATTTTGAAAGCTAAATCTAAATTTTAAAATTTTTTTTCCGCATTTAAAAATTTTTTTTTTAATTTTTTAAAATTTTAAAATATTTTAACTGCCAAATTTGAAGTTGAATTTAACTGTCAAATTTGAATTTGAATTTAACGACGATCAGTTTCAGTGTGCCCAGGTGCATTTAAGCAACATTTTAGCCAAAAAATTTACAATATGGTCACATCTGGTTTGAGTCTTGGCTTACTCCAAGATCAAAGGTTCGAAACTTGGACTTTTTATAACAGTTTATACCAGTTTTCAGCTGCTTGCTGCTGATTTCTGTTCGCCTGTTACCCCAATTTGGGAAACGGGCAATTTGCATGGAAATGTTCGGAAAATTGAATGGGCTGCTGTAGGGATGTTGTTGTAAAAAGGTTGTTGTTGCCATAAGCTAGCTGTTGTTGTCGGCAACAAATAGGTATAAATATAAAAGGTTTGAGTCTTCGCTAACTTGCGCCGGCTCCTAAATGGTTTGGAACTTGGACATTTTATAACAGTTTATACCAGTTTTCAGTTGCTTGCTGCTGGTTTCTGTTCGCCTGTTACCCCAATTTGGGAAACGGGCAATTTGCATGGAAATGTTCGGAAATTTGAATGGGCTGCTGTAGGGATGTTGTTGTAAAAAGGTTGTTGTTGCCATAAGCTGTTGTTGTCGGCAACAAATAGGTATAAATATAAAAGGTTTGAGTCTTCGCTAACTTGCGCCGGCTCCTAAATGGTTTGGAACTTGGACATTTTATAACAGTTTATACCAGTTTTCAGTTGCTTGCTGCTGGTTTCTGTTCGCCTGTTACCCCAGTTTGGAAAGCGGCCAATTTGAATGAAAAGTTTTGCTAACTTGCATCAGTGATGCTCATCTGCATCAGTGATGCTCACTTCCATCAGTGATGCTCACTTCCATCAGTGATGCTCACTTCCATCAGTGATGCTCACTTCCATCAGTGATGCTCACTTCCATCAGTGATGCTCACTTCCATCAGTGATGCTCACTTCCATCAGTGATGCTCACTTCCATCAGTGATGCTCACTTCCATCATTGATGCTCATCTGCATCAGTGATGCTCACTTCCATCAGTGATGCTCACTTCCATCAGTGATGCTCATCTGCATCAGTGATGCTCTATTAGGACAAAATGCATCTCTCTAACTGCCAGTGATGCTCATCCAGCTATTTTGTCCCAATAATGCAAAATAGCTAGTTGAGCATCACTGATGCAGATGAGCAAGCACTGAAACTGATCGTCGTTAAATTCAAATTCAAATTTGGCAGTTAAATTCAAATTCAAATTTGGCTGTTAAAATATTAAAAAAAATTTGTTTAATTCTAAAAAATTCTGAAATAAAAATAAAAAATCTGAAAAAAATGTTAAAAATTCAGAAAAAATTTTAAAAATTCAGAAAAATTTTACAAATTTAGTCAAAAATTTTAAAAATGTAGTAAAATTATAAAACATTCGAAAAAAAATGTTAAAATTCAGAAAAAAAAATTATTTAATTTAGATTTAGCTTAATATATATATTTGGAATATTTCAAGTCAAAGGTGCCACATTATTCGCTGTTAATTTTGCATTTTCAGACTTAAGTTATTCTATAAATGTAACACAGTCCACTAGATAACAAAATGTACATTAAATTTGGAAATTTTAAATATTATATTGCATTTGTTTGGGCACTATTTTTAAAATCAAAAGCAATTCGGTGATATTTATCAAAATAAATGCATTCTATGTACCATATTTAAAAGCAAAGAAATTCCTTAAATCTGTTAAATAATAGTAATTTATCAGTAGTAGTAGTATATCAATTTTAAAAGAAAGATGCTAAACCTTTACATTAATTTAAATCGAAATAATTATTCTTTAATAAAACTATATTCCCATAAAAATCTCTATTCCATTCTAGATTCAACTTTCTCTTCTCTGTCTCCCCAATAAAAACCCATTAAATTTGTCACAATCTCGCTGCCCTAAAGTACAAATACTCCTTGAAGTGAAAGTGTAGCTGAAGAAGAAAAATGCAAATGACTCTCGATTCCGGTGAAGCGCAAATGGCGTCGAAATTGAAAATCAAGATGACTTCTTCTAGGAGAATAGGGCGGCGAGAGCGGCGTCATGAATACAGATATCGGGGGTACCCCTCGCACACAGGTACACCTCCAGGTGTGCGTCGTACGCATGTGTTTGTCTCAGACATTTCGATTACTTTTTGAGTGGTTCCACTAAGGTTTCCCCTTCTTTAGCCCGGGAATTGCTGCATCCGCAAACTTTGGGGTCTCATAAAATATGTAGACCAGTAATACCTGGCAGGGGGAGGGGGGAGAGGGGGAGAGGACGGGATGGGGCACACAAAAGGCAGCGCAAATTACTGAAATATGCATGCGACTCGCCATGGCCATTATCGGGGGCTTCCTTTTTGGCCCCGCAGAAGAAGTACGAGTATCGAGGTCCATCGAGGCTACGTGCCGGGAATACCCAATGGATGGCCATTACCGGACTGGCCTGGACTTGGAACACTCATTTCGGCCATGTCAATGGCATTCGGTTCGCAGGATGGAGGCATTTGTGGTTTTTGAAACTGCACGCATTTGATTGCGTTATTGAAATTGACTGGGCCGTGGCGGTGGCTTCATTACTATAATGTCGTGGGCGGGAGCTGGCCTAGGCCTGGGCCTGGGCCTGGGCCCGGGCAAGGAATTCAATTATAAATGCCTGCAGATTTCCAGGTATGCCTTGGCTTATGAATATAAATCTGCTCGGTGTGCGGCGGCGGCGGCGGCAGCTTCGACTTAATTGCTATTGGCCTAGGCCCAGGTGAGACGAGATGAGGCGGCGGCGGCAGGTAAGTAATTATTTACTTGATGATGTCGCCTCGGGCAAAGTTAAATTAAATGAGGATTATGTGAGCTTTTTAATTAACTTGGAGCCCAGCAGGAGCTTCTGTCTAGCTCAGCGTAAATTTAAATGTGGCGCCCCAGATCGATAGCAGTCTATCGATGATAACGGTTTCGCTGTTATCACTTATCACTTGTGGGAGCCCTGGCAGCCCCCAGCTGTTGCCATAAATCGATTCAATTAGCAGGTGAAAATTGCGTATACGCTCGGCAGAGTTTTTATAAATATTTACTGGACAAAATGGCCCTGCGACGCTGTCATCTGAACCCCAAGAAAACCCTCTTCCTGCTGTGCGACATCCAGGAGAAGTTCCGGCCGGCAATGCCCCTGTTCGACAACATGGTCAAGAACGTCGACAAGCTGGTGGGTTGAACTTTGATTGATCTCTATCTGAACACTCAGATTAACCCCGTAATCTCTTGCAGACCAAGGCTGGAAAGGCTCTCGATGTGCCGCTGATTGTCACGGAACATTATCCAGAGAAACTGGGCAAGACCGTGGCCCAACTGGATGTGAGCCATGCCAAGTTGGTGTCCGGCAAGACGCTCTTCAGCATGTTTACGCCCGAAGTGAAGGCTGTGATCAAGGATATATTCAACGATAAGCCGGAGGATGTGGTGTTGTATGGTCTGGAGGTGGGTTGAGATCGTATAAGTGATATTTTCGTTTGAAAAATAAGGTTTTTGATTGAAATCATCTTCAAAATGCCCAAAATGAGGCGAAGAAATTTCTTTTCTATATGTAACGTTGCAAAGCAAACTTCTAGGCGCTATTGTAATTGATTTAAAATATAAACCAGTTTACGTTCAAGATTTAAAGCCTGTTTAGTTCTTAATTAAACAAGGAAATCAATTTTAAAAGCCTCTTTAACATTACCCTTGTAATTTTTGTTTTAGTTTTTAAATAATTATACATTTTTACTAATTAAAACTCCCTTTTCCTTACAGTCCCACATTTGTGTGGAGCAAACCGCCATCGATCTTCTTGAGCAGAACATCAACGTCTACATTGTGGCCGACTGCTGCTCCTCTAGGCTTAATCAGGATCGGGATCTGGCTTTGGATCGTCTGCGCCAAGCTGGCTGTGTGATCACCACCAGCGAGAGTGTCATCTTTGATTTGGTTCGTGACAAAAACAACGTCAAGTTCGATGCTATTCGGAAACTGGTGAACCAGCCCTCGGTGGACATGGAACTCACGCGCAGCGGCAACGGACAGCCTGTGGGCAGTGCCAAGCTGTGAGACAACCCCACGTCCGACTCTTTGTTTTTTTTTTTGTCCCTGTGTATGTGATGATGCCAATTGCATTTATATAACCATCATGCAGCAAAGTGTTTTTTCCAAGGATAACCGGATGGAGGGGGAAAATGGGCAAAATGGGAACAGCACCCATTTAAGTTGTCATTTCCGTAACATATTCCAATGGTCGCGCACAATGGGCGAGTCCATATTTGAATTTAACACTTAACAATGGCCTCGAATGGCCTCCCTTCCGGCGAGGAAGTCTCTCCGCCGCCTTGGGCCCACTTCCGCCCGGGGTTCTTATTATGCGAATGACAATGCGTATTTTATGTACAGCCATTGCCACACCCACTCCTCCTGCACCCATTTTCCATTGATTACAAGGCTGAGAGTTGCGTCGTAACCTTTTATTTGTACAATAGGGAATGGCAGAAGGAAATCAGCGACGCATTTGCGGCAACTTAAAACCTAAGGATACTCAGTGGAGGCGATGGTGGCCATGGGGACTGACCGTTGGATGCACTGTATGCGATGGGTGATGCCCTTGATGGGAGCGAGGCGGCTGGGGATGCACTGGATGCGAATGTGGAGCCTGGTGATGAACAGGACGCTGCTCTTCCCTCTTGGGATGGGCGTCGATGTAGGCCAGAGCCCGTAGAATCGCCTCCGGTGTGGGTGGTGGTGTGGGCAGCAGATCACCGTGCGGATGATAGCCGTGCTGATCGGCCGTGTAGGATACCTTTACGGGCACACCCTCCTTCGAAATGAAGTGGTACTCGCCGTTCACCTGGTGCTCATCCCCAGCCTCGCCGGCTCCAATGCCATTGGTTATGTCAAAGCCATACGAGAACTTGCCATGTCCGTCCTCCTGCTTGTACTGCTTTGCCACATGGGCGTGGGCATCGTCATCGGTGGCCACACAACCACCAATCAGCAGGACAAAGGCCAACTGCAGGAGGATGAAAGTGAGCTCAAGGATAACTCTGGATTATCAACTTACGTATTGGAACATTCCGTAACTGTAGGAACGTATCAACTGTTGTCCCCCAAAACCGGGCCAAGGGCTTAAATACCCAGAGACGGGCATGTAAGTCGTCGGCTCCCAAAATTCCTGTGTAACCTGTTGCTCCCGATCTTCTCGGCCATAAATTATGTGCATCACAAAGCTGTTAACGTTTAATTGTGAGCAAATAACAAAACTCTCTCCCTCGCATTATGACAAACAGCAACGTCGTAAATATGTACTAAGATTATTTATATATTAAACACGTATTCATTTGGTCAAGGTCACGCGATCACTCTTCCACTTTGGGATGAAAGCCGGTGGCATCTGCTGTGTACGTCACCCGGATCTGTTTGCCATCTTCGCCGGGCAGAAAGTATTCGCCCTGAACGCCGTTCACGTTGCCCTGGGCCTTCACCTGGATGCCATTGCTAACGCTAGTCTCGTGATTAAATTGTCCAGCTCCATCCAGATTCTGGTGGTTCTCCGCCTTGAGGAGCACGGCATTGAAGTCCTCCTCATTGCAGCTGGCCAGAGTCACCAGCAGAGCAAAGACAAAAGCCTGGAGGCGGATGTAGTTATGATTATTTGGAATCAAACCCAGTTTCAGTCTAGACTCACGAATTTCAGCATTATATTAGAGCAGCAAATAGATTGAAACAATGGCCGAATGGCCAGCGCGCTTTTATACTAACTTCGGCGCAGTGGCTCGCCCACTAAACGGGTTTCCGTCTCATCTGCTAATGACTGCGATTAACCAGACAGCCATGAATATCAAATTGGCGGCGGCTCAATCGCGTTTGCTTCTGGCACAAGCCAGAGCCAGCCTCCCCCAACTTAATTAAACCATTTCACAACTAAGTTAAATTTTAATGATAAAGATTTCCCAGTGGCTCGTTCTAGAAATATTTTCCTTGATTTTCCTGCTTCGAGACCATTTTCTTTCTCCGCATCAGCGGACTTTTCCAAACATTGGGCCAGTCACTGGGATTGTCAAAGGGCAGAGACGGCTGAAGTAGAAGTTCCTGAGCCTGGGGTTCCTTAAAGTGAAGATCCTGAGCCGAGGGTTTCTTCAGCAGATTAACCTGAGCCCGTGGTTTCTTTAAAATAGTTTCCTCATCTTGGTCCGCCTGTTCGACTGGGGCCTTGTAACCTTTAACATACTTCTTGGCACTCTCCTGGGCGGAGTATTTCAAGGCATTCATGTCCCAGTCAACGTTCAGCTTGGCCTTGAGATCCTCCGACACAGATGATTTCTTTGAGCTGAACAAATCACGAAACATATCCTTCAGATTCATATCTTTTGGCTCATCGGAAAGTCGAACATTTCGTGAATCACATTTCTTTTTTTTGCCCAAATTCCGCTTGGAATCCTTTTCAAGAGGCAGCTCCTGGTCTGAATTCTCCTGCAGCTGCTGTTGGAAGTCCTGTAACTCAGGTGCAGACGGCAGATCCTCGGCCAGGTAGCCGCGACTTTTCAGGTAGGCAAACGGCGGCTCCCAGTTCTCGATAAGATCATTGACGATGCCTTTAACAGGGGTGTGGTAGTTACCGGCTTTTGAATTGCTTGCAGCTGCCGCGATTGTAAGAAATATAATAATAAAGTGAAAAATTAAATAAATCATTTTCAGAGCTTATTTTTGGAAAATTCAAATTGAGAGCCGACTTTCGATTGCTTGTGTGGTTCTCGACCTATCGATAGACAGAGTGACAGTTAAGTTAGCGCAGCCCTGGATCACCAAAAATCAGCTGTTGTGTTGTAGGCAAACGTAAATTTGGGCACAAAAATTAACGATTTACAGTTTTTCTATAATTACGAACCATTTACAGGGCATTGACTAGAACGCATACAAAAGCAAAGCCAACATGGTCATCACCAACAACACAACACTGCCCGAGGAGGCGGAGCTGGACACCCAGGAGCTGAATCTTTCGTCGGCGGCTCTGCGGGCGGGCGCCTTTCATTTGGGCAAGCAATGCGAGCAAGCCAATAATGTTAGTATCTAACGCATCCTAGACACTGCCAATGGTAGTGACCAAGTCATAACCAGCTCCAAGTGAAGCTGGAGCCGGCGGAAACCACTAAATCCTACCGCTTAAGTTATATAACCTAACCTCAAAACGCACCTTCCTCGGTTTGTTTACGTTTTGTTTTCCATGTAAAATTGCAGGAATTCATGCTCTGCAGACAGGAGCTGGACGATCCGCGCGCCTGTTTGGCAGAGGGCAAGGCGGTGACCGGCTGTGCTCTGGACTTTTTCCGCAAGGTAAAGAAGACCTGCCATGAGGAGTTCATGCAGTACGCCACTTGCCTGGACAAGAGCAGCGGTACCATGGCTTTTGCACAGTAAGTGTTTGAAGGATTAAATGGCTTGGAGGTGTATAAGACAAGTCCTGCTCTATTTGTGCAGCTGCCGCAAGACGCAGGGTGTGTTCGACAAGTGCGTCAAGGATAACTTTGACTGGGAACGTCCTTCCTACGGCTACTTCGCCAGGGCCAAGGTGAGTTTTGACTAAAGAGTATCCCAAGCCTCGATTAAACGCTCTTTATTCAACAGGTCATCAAGTCCGCCCGCGATCCTCCCAAGAAGGAAGAGAAGATTTCCTATCCCGATGCCACTCCTGGTCTGCCCGAGGACTACCCCAAGCCGCCGGCCAAGTACGGCTCCCGCTTCCACTGGCTGGAATAGAAGCACAGCTGCTAGCAAATAGTGAAATACGAAAGAAAGCGTTCATCTTAACATAAACTCTTGTTTCCATTAGTATTTGAATCTCTTTATTCTATCGAATCTTCTTCCGCGACAAAGTTTGCTTGATCTTGGCCAAAATCTGCAGATATTGGTTGTTGAGGCAGCAGCCGCAGTAGCTGACGGGGAAGCAGGCGCTGCCCTCGATACGCCGCTCCATTGCATTGTTCGTGTAGAACACCCAGGAAATGTTCTCCTCGCCCAGCACCAGCATGATTTTGTCGTAGCGATAGCTCTCCACACTGAACAGATTCGCATCGCCGGTGATGATGCGCCACTCGGCATAGCGTAGATTGACATTTGGCGGCAGCTTGGAGCGCTCCCGCATCATGACATGCTCAAACCAATCGCGCACCTGGATGACCGAGCCCGTGGGCGGATGTTTACGGATCTGGTAGCTGATGTGCGGGTACAAAGGATGACTGTGGAAGGGAGCTCTAATAAGTTTCTGCAAGATTCTCCTTTAAACTCTCTTCAGTACTTACATGTGCGGCGCAAAGGCCAGGCGGACTAGCACGAACTCAACTTTCTCACGAGGAGCCATTTTCTTGGTGAAGTGAAGTTATTTATTCAATTTAGAGCGTTCGAAACGCTTCAGAGGCACTGCTAGGCAATACTGATGAGCTTGCTGCAGCCTGCAGACTATATATACCCCATCTTCTACAGGTAGAATCATACCCACAGCAGATGTTTAGCCCATAATCCCTGGAAACTACCTGATCTATACCTGGATTGGTTTTTCATTTACAGTTTTATTGCTAAAACGAATCCTTAGCCTAGACAGGGGAACTTTACTCGGTGTACCACTTCGTGCGCTTGGGCTTCTTAATTTTACCTCCCGTAACGCCCTTGACACCGCCGCCATCCTGATTGCCACTGATCATGTTCTTGTACTTATTAATTAGGGGTCGCAGCTCATCCTTCTCCTTCTTGCGTCCCTGCTTGGGTCGATTGTTGGCCTTGCGCTCGGCCAGGTGGGATTCCCGTATCTTCTTGTTCTTTTGCTTGCGCTTTTCGGTCTTCACCCGCTTCATGTGCTCCTGGGCCTGCTCCATGATCTTCTTTTTGGAGCGCATCTTCAGCGAGGTGCCCGGCTTGGCTGCCGCTCCTACGAAATCGCTTTGCACATCGCTGGCCTGCTGCTTTTGTTCCCTGGCCTTGCCCTCCACTTTGGCTGCCCGCGTTGCCTCCAGTTTCTTGATGTGCTTCTGCAGCTTGGCCTTGTTGTCGGTCTGTGGTCCAGATGGCTTGGCCTTTTTGCCATCCCGCTGTTGTTGGCGACGCTCCTTGCGCTGCTGCTGTTTGGCCTGGTATGTGGGATTGTTGAGCTTGGAGCGCTCCGTGCGCTTCTCCTTCACCTTGTGCACCGCTCGATCCTCTATACTGAAGGCCACAATGGGACGCTAATCGGAGGGATTTAATGGTTATTATTTGGAGAAGATTTATTACCAAGGAGAAACTTACATGCTGGTTTCCAAATATGCTGGGATTGTTGTTCAATTTTCGCAGAGCCGTCAAGGCCCTTTGATGTGTGTCAAAGGAGAGAAAACCGAAGCCCTTGGACTTGCCCTGCGGATGCTCGGGGGTTACCTTTTGCTCCCGCATCACTCGACACTCGTGCGGCCGGAAGCCAGTGTATGTCTGAGCCATTTGCTTCAGCTTCTCGTTGTCGTAGTTCTGGGGAAGATTGTGGATGGACAAACGGTTGCGGGAAACAAATCTAAAATAGAAATAATTAGATATTTATCAACTGATATAAGTAGCAGACTTACCGATTCAAGTTCTTCAGAACTTGGGTCTTAACCTGCTCCAGTTCATGGCGCTTGGTCATGTCGGAAGCGGAAACCCCGTCTGCTGCCTTGGAACCAGACATGATAAGACCTTCTCTGGCCAGATACAGGTTCCTAGAGTCCTTGCCCAAGTCGTCTTTGCTATTTTCCTTCGACTGCTTCGTCTTCATCTCCTCGCGACTGAGTGCGGGATGGGGATCCAGCACTTCGTCCATCAGCTTGAACTCGGTGCCAGCCTGCAGGCATAGATCCGCCGATTCCTTTGCCTTGAACTTTACAAAGGCAGTGCCTTTGGAGTGGCCAGAGACTGCCTGGCGGTTGATGATGGCATAGTTGACCAGTCCAAACTTGCGGCACACCTTTCGCAGATCCGCATCCTCGGCGTCGAAGGGCACATTCTTGATGAAAACTGTGCAGCCTTGTTGGACGTCGTTGGAAATTACCTTTTCCTTTTTGACATTTTTAATATCCAGCTTTGATTTCAATTCGTCTTTGTCCTCTTTTTGGTCCTCATCCTCCTCATCGCTCTCCTCGTCATCGTCCTTAGCATCATCTTCAGCAGATTCCCCCTCAGAATCCTCCTCAGAGTTTTCCTCTTCGTCTCCATCGTCTTCTTCGTCGCTTTCCTCTTTGATTTCCACTTCCCCGTCTTCCTCCTTCACCTCCACCTTGGGTTTCTTTTCCTCCGGCTCCTCTTTGGGATTTTTGGCCACATATTCATCCTTGCCCAAGGCCCAGTCCACGAATATCTTGCGCCCCAGCAGCTCCTTGCCATTGGAATGCAAAATAGCCTTGGTGGCCTGGTTGATGGTCTCGTACTGGACAAAGGCGCAGCCCACCATCTTGCCGTCGCCCCGTTTCAGGATGTGGACATCCTCCAGCGTGCCCCACTGCGAAAAGTGCTCCCGCATCGATTCCTCAGTGGATTTGTAGCTGATGTTTCGGACGATGAGGCGCGCCCGCTTCTTCTGGCGCCGCTCCTTCTCCTCCTTGAGGCGCTGAGTGTTGAAAGGATTGCGGCGCTTCCTAGCCGGCTCCCCATTGGTCCCCGTATCCACCGAATCATCCTCCAGAGGCTTCATTTTTTTGAGTTCCATAGTTCTATCGCTGCACGTGGAACTCAGTGTGACCGTACTCTAGCCGTTAAAATATACCAACCATGCGGGGGACCCTTCCGCAATCTGGCAACGCCGCGACTTTGTTTACATCGCGAAATGGTTTTAAAAATGTTTATTTTATCAACAATTTACAACATGACGTCATGACAACGTCTGTTATTTAGCCGCGAACAGCTGGTGGAACTCCGAGGGCGTCTTGAAGTAGTCAACCAGCAGCATGGAGGAGCGATTGCCCAGTTTGTACATAATATGGCTCCAAGGATTCAGGAAGTTTTTGTATTCAGAGATTTGTCCCTTTTCAAAGTAGTGCTTTACTGTGCCCACGGGCAGTTGGGAGCCGTATACAGCCACGTACCTGAAAGGGAAACCAAGTAAGGGGATAACCATCCAAGTACCCATATTGCAGACTTACTTCTCGGGACTCTTGTAAATCCTCAGCGGGTACTTGGCCACAAATGCGCGTATGGCCAGGTTGATGAGCACAAAGCCCCCCAGGAAGTAGTACAAATCCGATTCCTGGGACACCAGTATGGCTATGTCCATCTTCTGAACCACGTTGACCACCTGCCAGGTGGTTGCCCAATGATAGGCGGCCACCAGACCCAAAATCGAGGTTGTGGCCGTGGATATATTCTTGGTCCAGGTCACATAGCTCTCAATGGGGGCCCGGTAGATCAGTTTGTAGTTATCCGCCAGTCTGTCGCCGTATAAAAGCTTCCGCTCTACATCGCCGGAGGGCACATTTCGCCAATTGCAGAGCGCGGAGCTTGTGCTGAATGGAAAGGGTGGTTAAATCTGTGGAGATAGTTAACTGATTACTTACTGCAGGCTTTGGAGGCGGGCTATAGGCGCTAGGGACCTTAAATTTAGCAGTTTCGAACTCCGAAGAATAGCCGCACACATTTTGTTTTGATGTAACGACTGGGAAATCAGCTGTTTTGTGGGATGGGCTGGCCACACTACCTGGGGATACCAAACACGGATCAGCTGTTCGGATGAGCAGGCCATGGAGCAGGACTGGATGTAGTGTCAGTTGTTTCCGGCTCCCGTAGTCATTATTTTACTTACATTCAGCAGACAAACACTTCTAGTGAATTGTATTTTTCTAATCACAATTTAGCTAGGAACACGTATATGTAGGTTGGTGAATTTTGTTTTTATTTTTGTAACCCATAATGGATTCGAAACGCGCGGCTCCTGAAACTGGCGATGGTCCAGACCCGAAGCGTGTGGACACCACCGAAGATCAAGACAAGTTAGAGGAGCATGGCAGTCCAGTCTCCTTGGAGGCCACACATTTCGCCCCCTACACAGGCAACGGATTCACTGCATCCCTGGAGTCCTTAATGTTCCAGCCGACGCTGGCCGGCAGTCAGCTCATATCGTGGTGTCGCAACTTTGAGAACGACCTCGAACTGGAGAAGAGCGCCATTGGCGAAAAGAAACGTAAGTAATCTGCCGTCTAGTTGACATTCCCGTTAAATCTGTATCCCCAGCAGAGTCTTCCCCGGGAAAGACTTCGCGCCGCGAGCAGGCCAAGTCTCGCCGCGAAGACACCATGAAGGCTCTGGCCGTGGAGCGCGAGCTGACCATCAAACCGGGCCAGAATACCGCCTCCGTGGTGCTCATTGTCCGCTTCCCTGACCCAGAGATCACCGTTTCCATGCTGACCGACGTGTCCAAAGAGATTCGAGATGTTGTCATGCCGTACAGCGTGGCTCCGCGCTACTGCCTGGTGTACCTCAAAAGCGGCGCCAATGTCGAGGCAACCATTGCCGACATAAACAAGGTACGTTTCGGTACCGGGTTCCTACAGGCGGAGCACAAACACTTTTCGGACGAGGAGCAGGCCGACTTTATTGATCCGTGCTCGCTGTATGTGAGCAACATACCGTTCAACATGACCACATCGGCCATCAAGGCCTGCTTCGTCCACGCTCTCAGGGTGGACATCGGAGTGCTGAAGCGCGAGAAGCGCGCCCGCTACGCCTTTGTGCGTTACGCTTCTCCCGAGGCTGCCATAACTGCTTTCAGGGATCTGGTTAGCTGTCCCCTGAATGGCCGTACTCTCACAGTCCGCTTCCGGCGGCTCCGGAAGCGCTCTGGCATGCCCATCGTCCAGTGCACCAGCTCCATCGTCACAATGACCCAGCCAAGTAGTGGTGCCGGCGGCGATGATGATAATGTCGACTGTAAAGTTATCTCTCCTCCACCCGTGGAGTCCATTACCATAAGCGACAGCGACAATTGCTCCGATTCCAGTAACGACGACAAGGAACACAAGAGCAAGACTAGCGAACAGGAGGAGATACAGAAGCTCAAGCGCCAAATGGCCCACTACGGGGCCATCCTGAAGAGCTTTCAGAACAGACAGAACTTTTTGGGAGGTACGTATGATGATGATATGTGTGCTGTAGTGCCATACATAATCCCTTAATCCTTCCAGATACTTTATCATCAGCTCTCGTGCCCAAGCCGGAGCCGTGCCCGATTCCATCAGCCTATATACCTGTGCTAGGATCACACGCCGTACACGTAATGCGGGATATTAAAACCGAGCGTGAATATTTGGGCATCCCCGACGAGGCCGGTCCCGAGCCCAATCCGGCTGTCAAGCCGACCACGCAAACCCCCCCAGAAAACATCACAGAAAAAGAGGATCAGCAGAAAATTAAAAGTATATTCGTTACCTAGAAATAATCTTCAAACTAAACCCCTTCCTCGTATCTTACTCAGAACCGCATTGTTTTGGCTGGCTGTTTTCAGGTTTCACCAGACGAGGCCAGAGTGCCAAGGAGACGGCTGACAAGACAAAGGCTTCAAAGGCTTCGCCAAACAAGGACGACCGACTTGAGGAGCTGTATGCTCAGCTGGAAGCCGATTCTGATCCATAAGTTGCATGCGAACGCCTAGCAAATTAATCGTTTGTAGACGACTCCAAAAATAAAAATTTAGTTTCGGTCATTATTAAGATTTACGATTTGTTTATTTTTTGTTATTTTCGTTTCTTGTTTTGTTCAGTTTCTCTCGTTTCAGCGTACATATATGGTATACAAAATAAAATTACACATAATAATACGTAAGTTAAATAATATTTCGGTTTTAAATATTAAACCCGAACAAATATCGCTTAAGGGACTGGCTTAAATATCACTTATATAATAATCATATGTACTCGATGATGATTTTTATATTAGTTTATGGTCAAGTCGAGTCACGCATCGTTTTGTAAAACTAAAACATTTACAGTGCCTGCCGAATCGGTACACACGGCACTCGTGCACACATTAACAATTAGACCTAAACTAAAGTACGTTCTCTCAGTAGGTTTAATCGCTCAGTAATTGATTTTAGCTTGTTTGGTCTCCTCCTTCGATTCATTGCATATGGCTCGTTAAATTTAATATCGCAATTTGTCATTACCAAAAACAGTTGACTACATAAAGAATTTCTGCTATGACACGACTCCTGATGCCGACTGGCTGTCGTTTTGTCGCTAGAATGCGGAATGTTATAAACTATTTTATTATAGTTAGGGCTGATTTTTGTATTTACACAACAACAAAAAGTATTTGATAAGGCACCTGATTCACATGCTGATAGCTCAATTTACAATTGATATTCTGTTTGATTTCTTTCCCGTTTCAATTTGGATTTCCTCTCATCGTATTCGATATTATGTATGACGTTACGCATTTGAATTTCAAGCTATTTCTCGGTGCCCAACATGCGGTAAAATTTTAGAAACTTTACTCGAGTTGTTTTTATTTTGTTTTTTGTTCCTACTGCTGACAAAATGCACTGCCTACGGGGATGGTCGCTAGGATCTGTGTGGCTCTTTTAGCTAACGATGAACTTGGACACGAGGCACATCAGGATGGTGGTGATCACAGTGCTAACGGCGGAGTTGCTCGTCAGTTGGTTCAGCGACATGGCTCCATTTCCGGTTCGTTCGGCCGTTTCCGGCTCGAAGGGTTCGTCATTGGATTGATGATCGCCAACGGCTATTTGGGGATAGAGTGATGTCAAAATTTCAAGTTAGTTTTACGCTTAGTTATGTAAGTTTTAGGGGATATCTGTGCAGAATAGTCGTACATCTAAGCTATATAAGATATTTATCAACTGGAATAAGTGTTTTTTTGTGGGAGAATTGAAAGTTTTAAAGTAAATAATCAAAAATTAACTTAAATAACTTAAGGGGGGAGAATCAAATAAAAATAATTGTTAACATACTCTTCACTCTGTGAGTTCGTTCGTTCATTTCTTTCTATTTGGCTTGGTTTGGCGTTTCGGCAGGCGGCGCAGTTCGTGGGCGTGGCATGTTTATATAGTATGTTTCGATTGGTTTGTTTGATGATGGCTTTATATATTCAGACAGAGATCACTCAAGCGGGCGATGGATATACACACAACTGGGCATAGCTTAAAGCTGGCAATTTAACAACTGGACACACAGGCTACACAACACACGAGCACAGGGACGATCGAGATCCTCTCCCGATTCTAAAAGAATCTGTTCGTTAGGCCCCACATCCAGCCGGGCAGGATACCCTGATTATTGGGATTGGGCACTTGCGGAGCTGTATACCGAGTGTGTGTGTGTGTGCGCACAAATAAGAGTATATTTTTTGTTGTTTCAAAGAAAAACAAAAGTAAAGAATGACGTAAATAAAACGGTACAGAGTCAATATTGCTGATTGGAAAGGAGTAGGAAGAGGGATAATGTGCGCAAACAATTACTAAGATGTGGCAGCCAGGCGATCAGCTGGATGATAATACAGTTACACAGCGTGGGCGCAGGAAGAATGCAAAGCAGCATGGCGGCGACTACAACTACACACACACAAAGAGTACAAAGTACAACAGGAAAGAGGGAGAGGAAGAAAGGAGAAAATGGCGCAGACGGAGAGAATTCAGATGGCGGCAGATTCGCTTTGTATTTTTTCAGCTTGTATGTTTGTGTGTGCGTGTTGTTATGGAGTTTGTGTTCGTTATGCGGTCGTTTGTGGTTCTTGCTGTTGTTGTTTCTGGATGTGTGCTCTGATTAATTGTTCTTGTTTTTATATCCGCGTCTCTTAAAGCCTGCAAGAAATATACATACATATGTACATACATACGTACAGACAGACACAGATGACAATGACGAATACATTTCGAATTGTTCTTTTCGGCTTTTTGCTTTTTTTTTCTTGAATGCAAATTTAACGGTTATGAGCCAGGCACGTGCATGCGATTGTTAAGCGAGTGTCGTACAAATCACCGATTGTGGGTCATAACGGTATGTGATGTACGTAAATATTACTGCGTTTATGCGGTGTTCAGTTCATGTAATCCTCTGTTATTTTCATTGAGTGTATTTATGAATTCATGAACTATGTACATCGCATAAACTTGGTAATAACTTGTCCGCTTTTTTTGCTTCCCCCATGCAGGTGTAAATCTTTTGTTTGCTCTAGATTAGTTCATGCAATTAACGTGGGGATTTCAGAAGTGTAAGTGTCACTTTTACGTGGTAGGTGTGAGTGGGTGTGGGGGTGAGGTGTGGGTGTTTTTTGTTTTCATTTTTTTTTGGGTGGCTCATCCAGCCATTTAGCCATGGGGAATTTTGTGCCGAGGCGGTGCCAAAACAAGGAAAGAACGGTTACGAATGGTGACTTTCCAGCACTCTAGCGAGTTTTGGAAAATGCCACCAACTACATACAGGGTAAAGAGTTTAGTTCAGGGGTACGGAGGCGTAGTGGAAAACCAAATATTAATAATACCATAACTAGATAAATACTTAGTGCTGTAGAACTACATTTAAATTTAGACCATAAAGGGAGTGGAGGGTGGTGTTCTTAAATTCGGGACTTGTGGTGTTTAACAAATAGTATTGTAAAAGTGTTTTTGTTTCAGATTAGCGGGTTAGTGACGACTCGTTGCAGATGCTATATAGAGTCTTGGCTGAATCTACGGATTAGTCGGTTAGATTTGGTGCACATGCTAGGATTGTGACTTAAGGGCTAAGAAAATGGTATTTGGTGGCGTTGATCTGGGAACCACAGTTAGTGAGACCGACTGACCAGTAGTTTTCATTGCTGTTGTTGTAGTTGCTGCAGAGATAATTTATGTCTTATTTTGGGCTATTAAACTGTAAGCAAGGTATTAAATTATATTTGTTTGTTGTTTCTTAGGCTTATATCTTTTTTCATTTTTTTTTTACATGGTATGCTAAATTGAGTAGGTTAGTTTGCTAGAGTTTATACCGTATAGCCTTAGGCATAAGATATAGACAGTGTTAGTTGGGTTAATAGGAAAAAATACACATATATTAGTAAGTGGAAATTTGGCAATAATATGTTAGCTGTTAGTTTTAAGAGTTTTATAAAATTAATAATACAGTTAGTTAGTTTTAAGCTGTTAATATATAAAATAAATTAGAATATATATAAAGTAAATTGTTAGAGTGTTGTTGTTTGTATATTGTAGTTCTCAGCTTGAGAACACTGAAACAAAACTAGAGTAAAACACCACAAAATCAAAAGTACAGAGAAAATAATAAATGTACAAAATATATATGTATATGTAAATACAAAATATAGATTTCTATATAGACTGAGCAAAAGACAATTGGACATACACAGTAATTAGTTTTGTTCAATAAGAATCATAAATGTATTTCTTCCATAGGCAACAAAGACAAACACATTCGACTTGAGTAATAGAATTTCACTACATAGACATTAACTTAATTAAACATACCATATAGATAGGATTCTATAAACGTAATCGTCGTACTTTAATCACTTTACGACTTTTAACTTCTTTTCTCGCTAAGTAACAACTCATACAAGACTTTTATGAGATCTTTTTGACTTTACAGAGTTTGGGATTTTCAATTCGATTTCCTCGATTTCGATCTCTAACGCGAGATATCGATCTCGATTCCAGCAGATCGATTCGGGTTTCAGACAAAACTACCGTCGCGTCGGTCCCACTCACCTGCGTCAAAGTCACCATTACCATCGTCGGCGTGCGGGATTTGGGAGTGCTGTTCGAACTCGGAGTCCGAACCCTCGACGATATTACCTGTGGACGAGGGCGTGTTCTTGCAGCCGAACCACCAGTGGGCGGTGGGTCTGGGGAAGGGGGGCGTGGCCGTGTCCACCTGGGGGAAAATTAAATTATTCATAGGATCTAATTGAAATGATATTCAAGCGTCGCTACTTACCGAAAATCGGGCATCGTGGAAGCGATAGTACTTGTCGCCCTTGAAGAAGTACGTGTAACCATTGGTATACTTGAGCGCAGCATCCAGGTTGTTGGGCACACCCTCCCAGTTGGAGATGGGCTTGGGATAGCTGGCCTTAACTGGCGGCCTCTTGGCCGGGTCGAAGCGCCAGAACTTGCTGCCCTTGAAGAAGTAGATCTTGCCATTGCCCCCCCAAACCATAGCCGCATCCAGGTGATCGGGAATGCCGGTGAATCCCTCGCTGATCTCCTTCGGATAGACACCGTCCATCTGGCGACCCTGATAGCGCCAGTACTGGGTTCCCTTGAAGAAGTACGTCTTGCCGTTCTTGTACGTAAACGCAGCATCGATATTGCTGGGCAATCCTGGCCAGCCCTTGGAGATGAGCTGCGGATAACCTTCCTCCACCGAATCCGTGGTCAGCTTGTAGTACTTGTCGCCCTTGAAGGCGTACGTTTCGCCCTGCGCCGAGTTGAAGAGCGTATCCACCTTGGAGTCCTTGCAGATAGAGTCATCCAGAGGCACCTTCGGGGGCGAGAAAGATGGTCGCTGTGTGGTGGGCGGGTAGAAGTTGGTGGGCCTCAGCTGGTTCGTCTTCCTGCCATACAGCGACTGGATTGCCGCCTTGTCGTCTTCGTCCAATTTAAAGACGGGCTCAAAGCCGCGATAGAAGGGAGCCATCAACGCCGAGCTTTGATCTGAGTGGGAGAGTCCCAGGGAGTGACCGAATTCGTGGGCGGCCACCTGGAAGAGATTAGTGCCTCGGGGCGAGCCAATTGTCCACAGTTCAGCGTCATCAAAGTGAGCATCTCCGCCAAAGACCGGGAAGAAGGCGTGGGCAAGAGTGCCACCCTGGCCATCGAAAGCATCGCCATCACCATGCTCGCTCTCCACGAACCTGGGAATACAAAGACAAACCATAAGCTTCCATCATTGAAAATTGTACTAGCAAGCAACTCACTTGATCTCGATGTGCACGGGTCCTGAGGTCTTCCTGGTGAAGGTCAGATCGGTATCCTCGGACCACACGGCAAAGGCGCGTCCAATCTCAGCGTCCACATCCACGCGCTTCAGCCGCTTTGGGTACTTGGAGATCTTGTAGGTGAGGTTCTTCACGCGCCACCGACTGCCCTGGAGGGCATACCTCTTGGACCGACCTTCGCCGGCGCCTACGCGATCCCTCACACCGCAGCGGGGCAGGGACATCAGCTTCATGGTCTCGGCGTCCAGCTCGCCGGTGATGTTCAGACCCGCAAAGTTCTGGAACTCCTCGATGGCGCTCACCCAGGTCTGCTGGTCATGCAGCCCGCTGCTGGCCGGATTGCGGGCTGAGGCGGGCAGATAGCCGAACTGGGACAGGTAGATCTGGGGACGAAAGGAAGGAAAGCCGAGATTGAGTGACTGCAGGAAGGAAAGGGTACTGGGACTGCGACCCAGGCAAAGATCAATGGGCTGCGCTTGTCCGGCCACCCGTTGTTGTTTTGCCAACTTGATTTATGACCATCAGATTAGATGGCAGCGGCATGTCCTGGCTCCTCACGCTGTCGCATTTCTATCTGACTTGCATAATTTATGACTGCTGCCACACTGGCTTATAATTTATATAGAGAAGCATACAACAGAGGCACCATGGCGTATACTTGATATGTATATGCTTGTATGGAAAGAGCAACGTGACTTGTTGGGAGGTGTGAAAACTCTTAATCGATCTCCGGCGAGCATCGAACGCATTAAGGAAGCGTTTCGATTGCTAATTGTAAATTGTAACATTGAGAAACCGAATGAAAATATACAGTTTGCCCATCAGGGAAGTGCACTCCGGCGGAGAACAATGCGAGGTTATCGTAACAGTTATACTCTAAGCGCACTAACTATTTAGAATTTAATTCGAATTAGAATCTGTTGTCTGGCCAATTACAACGGCAAATCGTCTTACAGCCTATACTTTATGCGCTTAAACTGGCAACAGAGAGTGGAGAGAACACTCAGTTTATTTTCGATTTGGCATGTGGATCAGGTTTGCATGCCGTTTATGTGTCGCACATTCTTAATGACGCCGCCTCACATACACTTACTATATACATATATACTATATAACGCGTTGTATAATGATTTGCCGAATCTTGCATAATGCCAGCTGACTGTTAATTTTATGGGGTTCTTTCCGCCTCCGAGGAAGTAAACATTTCGCTGTCCCGCTCAATTTGTATTCATGCGAGATGTCTACCCGCCAGTGGCTCTGTGATCTTTTTTTCTGGGTGGTGGGAAAGGGGCTGTTGTTAGCGATCAGCTGGTACAAGGAACTTGGTAACATGGCCCATCGAAAGGTAAACGAACTGCAGACAAAGCGGTGCTCGAGTGGCAAGCATCTGTCGCTCATATCTCGAGATTTCCACTTGAGTGTAAGCTTCTGATTCGGAATTTTGACTGGCACTCGAGTTGACTCATCCATCGGAGGCGACCTTAGGAATGCCTTTTGGTGCAATTAACATAATTACGAGTGCATTGCAGCAAACACCTCTCCCTGCGGCGGGCACGCTCGTCTTGATTGCCCAGAGAAAAATCGCTGCAAAAGGCGGTGTGTTGTTGTTACGCCAATTCTGGGGAATTGTGCTGTAATGCAGCGCCTTTGTCATAGAGCAAACAAGCTGGGTACCGACTGAATAACCGAGGGCAATCGAATGCATTGTTCGAGGCCTCAAACACGGGCTCTTTCGGTTATCTCCAGCCCGATATCGATAAGATACCTGCTGCCTTCGGCAGCAAACAAAAGACTACTCAACGCGGCCATAATTGAGTCATTTCTCCGCACCTGACGCATTTGTTCGGCGGCTTTCAATTTGGAATTTAATGCGTCACAAAAAGCAAACGGAAGTCGGTGCTAAAACGGAAATGTTTGGCCATTAGATTAAGGTGTCTCTCATTTTGTTTTTTGTTGTTTTTTTTTTTTTTGGGAGTCATCAAGTTGCTTGGTCAGGTGAATGCATCCGCATGCATCGATTGAGATAAACATTTGCATGTCATTACAGATTCTCGATTCTCGAGGGGATGCTCCATGGTCGGGCAAATCATTTGAAATTACCCGGACTCCTCCTCGCTACCAAAAGGGGGTGAGGTGAGGGCCAGTGCATTCATTGGGTCACGTTTCAGAGGGCGTTGAAATTGCACTTCAATTTATTATTGGACATTGACACAAATTTGTTAGTGCGGTTCGGACAACAAAAAGCAGAATGTCAACAGAGAATGTACAGGTGCAGTCGTTAGTTTACTGTATTACCATAAATACACTGAACAACATTTTTTACAATTATTTGTCATCTGAATTTTATCAATTTATGATTAAACTAAGGTTATTTCTTCAACAAAACAGATTGTTAAAAGATCTTAAAGACCCTCTACTAATATTATCCTTTTAAGAAACCCTTCTCAAACATAAATATCTCTCCGTGTACCTTACTATCTACCAGTTTGTGTGGGAAAATATCTAGTCCGTTAGCGCTTGGCTGACCTGCTTGCCTGGTTTACTTGTCCAAAGGAGTTGAACTTGCAGGAAATGGTCCGCAGGGCTTTTCCAACCCAAAGGGTGGGCTTGTGCAGGTGTGTTTGTGAGCTCTGAAAAGTGTGCTACACATTCGCAGGTTGCAACCTTCAAATATTTAACACAATTTGCACAGGTGCACAGGTGAAAAGTTTGCCAGTTGCCCAGCTTGATTTGATTTCGAGAGGGGAAATGGCGGTGCAAATATTAAGGGAAATTGCTGCTCCTTCTGCTCTCCGAAAGTCATTGAACTTTCCTTAACCCAACCAATGTTTTCTCTCCATTTAAATTGAAGGCGTACTCCGCCTCGTTTATTTCCGGTCGAGAAACAAGAACAGGACATGCATAAATTATAAACAAGTATCGTTTTGTGTACACTTTTCGTATATACAGACATTCGCCGACAAACGTGCCCGGTTGAAATTGATGGGAAAATTATTGCCCAGCGGAAAACTCTTGGCTTCCACGTCCGTGCTTCGTTCGGCGTTTTCCTTATTCCGTATTGCTTATTCCGTATTTCGGGGGTGCGTGGTTAGTTTACGCTCGGAATGTGGGTCAGCCAGGTCGTTGACTTTCCACCGCCGCCGCGGGCGAGGGCTTTCCCTGCATTTCCCCCCGTGCGCTTTTCCCCCCCTCGATTTTTGTGCAAACAAACCTAGACCTAGTTGCACAAATATTTGCGTGGCACGTGCATAAAGGAAAGTGTCGGCGACAATTAAAGGCAAATAGCGTAGGAGGCTTTTCATTCTGCCCCGCTGGCGATTTTCCCATCAAAATTGCGCCTGCATTTCGAGTTTTCCAATCCCGCTGGCCATTAAGCAAACAGGCTTAACTTGTTTAAATGTTTTTATAACCCGGCGATTACATCATTATCGAAGCGCAGGCACCTCATTTGGCGGCACTTCTTATAAACTGGGTTTCTATACCATTCGGGATTGAGATTGAGATTGGGATGAAAAATAAAAAGGAAAACAGACAACTCAAAACCAAAACCAAAGCCGAAATGCAGCAGACAGAGACTGAAACTGGGCCAACTGCTGTGTCTTAAATGCAGCTTAAAAGTTGTATAACGATTTCAATTCAATTCAGGACCCCAGTGAGCGAGAGAAAGAAATGCTTTTAATTGCACAGAATTTCGGTTGGGTATCTGCATCCCGAAATTGGGTTATAAAGCGAGTTTATTTTGCTTTTAAAAGCTTCTGCACAGAGTGCAGCTTACTAATTAAAATGGCTTCTAAAAAAGACTTTAAACTTTAAAGAAACTTCTATTCATTCTATTCTTCTGCCAGTAAATTCCTTGACATTTACTTCGAAGGGTCTGCTTAGCATAGGAAACTCCCACAAAATATTTGACATTTTCCACCCCAGAGAGGTGTGTCTGTCCCTGTCTCTTTGCCACTTTTTTGTTTTAGTTTCCAACAAGTGCAAGTGGCTAATTCACATGGCGATAAATAAGCGTCAAGATGCTAAGATAACCGGACAATAAAAAGCGCTATTCATGCAAAGACTCTAGCACAAAAAAAAGGATTTTATTGCTGCTGCCATTCCAATGCCTTTTTTGGGCCAGTTGTTTATGGCGAGACGCGTTAAATGCTAAGCCATTCCATATACATAGATGACCTTAGGGAGTCCTAAAAAAGGAAAAGGAAAGCTATCAATTGTTTGCCAAAGTGGCAAGGCTGCCGTTGCAGCCGCGTTTGGTTATCCTTTTGTTTGTGCATTTTGTTGGCACCTCCCGAAGGTCGCACGCAACTAATTCATAGGCGAATCCATCAAAAAACTGGCAAAAAGCAAACAAATTCCGACGGCTATTGATTAGTTAAGTTGGCCAAGGAAGAGGGTAAGCTTTTCTCTCGAGTTTTTCCACAATACTAGGGCTATAATTAACCCGGAGAAACTATTCTTTGGAGTTTTTCCTCCAGCTTTCTGGGCTTTTTTTTTGCGTGCTCGATGACGAATGCCCGAATGCCTCTGAGCTCATTTCAATTTCATTCATGGGTGCGAGTAATTAACCTCTTGACAGCGCCATTATGTGCGGGTAGAGCTACTTTTAGATGACTCACTCTCAGACACAGTAGTCTCGTCTACTGGTTCCTGCTTAGTTTTGTTAAATCCAGATCGAATCGGTGGGGATTATTAAACGATTGCAATTTGATCGGGGAGAGATTTACCAGAGATTTATAGAGAGATTTAGCGCATCACGACTTCCTCGAATCATCGGCGGTGGTCTGCACGATTTGCATTCTCTCGTTGGGAGATTTATGGGGAAAGAGTTCTGAATCCGGGGAGAACAAAGAGCCTGGCATTGGAGGCAAACACGTCGCCGGTCGTCTGTCGCCGCTGCCGCCGCCTTAGCTGCTTTTGGCCAGCGACAACGAGCCAAGTTATTGGCGACGCGACCAACATACCAATTAGCCGGGCAGTCGAGCTATTACGTAAAACATAAATAAATAAAACCTAAATAAAAGCCAAAGCAATGTTAAGCACGCGCTTATGCGTGCGGAGTCCCAGAATTGACTTCGAATCGAGTGGATATATCACCTGCTACATATCGCCCGATCGGGAGAGGTGATCGCAAATGGCCAATCAGGAAGTTCTAGGTTCTCTGTAAATTGTAAATGGCTTTGCTTTGGCCGTAAAGTGACTTCCCCGATTAATTTATGCAAGTTTGTGGCTAAACAAAAACGTGATTAGCTTCAGGTAGAATACACCTCTAGGCGCAAACGTGCTGCAGCTCCCTCAATTGTTGTATAAAATTTGTAAATGGTAATTGCATTGGGCTAAACAGCGATCATGACAAGCAATTAACGAGAGATTAATATTTATAAATTGTGAGAGTGGAAAACAAGTTACTCAGAGGGAGCAGAGTTAATTTATGTGGCTATTATTATCACAATATTTTTTGGTGGCTCTATAAATTTTATTTGTTAAAGAATACTTAATGCATTTGCTAGATAAAGTTAAGGTGTCTCCTGCTGGGCTTTTCCATTATATTGAGCATTTTAAAGTCAGGTGATGGATGGTTTTAACTGGGCTTAAATAAATTATAAGGCTGTTGTTGAACTTTCACAGGTTTTGCCAACTTTTACTGCGCTTTATGCTTCGCTAAACCTTATTTTATATGAGAGGAAACTTAATAAACTCTACTAGGTGTTGGTTTAATAATAAAAAGATTTAATGACTTTCAAATTTGTTTAATGGCAAAGCTTATCAGTGTTTAATGAAGTTATAAAGCCTGAAGATAAGAGTCTAAAAAGTCATCTAAGAACTTTGATATTTCCACAAAGCTGTGGATTTCTGAATCATACGTCAAGAAAATTGAATTTCTACTTATATAATTATTACTAATTAAAAAAATATATATAGTTAATTTACAAAGCTTATCAGTGATTTTATTTAAATGGCTTTTCCCCCCTCCGTTTCGAAATATAGTGAGTGCATTCGAATCGATTCGTTGGCATGTCAATGGCGTGCGAGTTTTCCTTGTGGAAAGCCACGTTTTCCGCTGACCAATGTCACGAGCGATAGCGATAACGATAACTGGATAGTCAGACGATAGACTGCAATTAGCCGGCATGCACTTTTCGGAGCCATCCGACTAAGGCTAAGGCCAAAGCCTCTGAGCCGGGCCAAAACCTAATGGGTGTGCCAGTGTGTGTGGAATACAAAAAATTTCCGTTGACATGCAATGCGCGTGAGCCTGTTGCATACAAAATATCCACCGATATACACTGCTCAGTTTAGTTTTAAATTAAATATAATTTGCGAATGCAACCAACTCGGTGAGCTGAGCGCCTGGCACGTTTGTCATGCAAATCGGAAGTAAAACTGCAGACTGGCTACTATATGGAATATATACTATATATATAGAGAGAGAGAGAGATAGAAAGAGGGAGAGGCAGAGACAAAGCGGCTATCTCATGCCGTTAACTGTCACCTCAAGTGCAACAAACCCGCCCCTCCCCCCGCTTATCAATCATTCGGACTCCGATTATGATTCATCTCCATTCCGATTTCTTTCCTGGTCACTGTTATTGTGCTAAGGCACTTGGAGAAAAATTCCAGAGAATTTGTATACAATTTTTATAGAAAAGTTGTATTATTAAAACTTCTTAAGTCATTCAAAGATTTATCTGAACTTATTGCAAGTTATTTTTAAAGAGATTGTCATTACTAATTTGTTTTTTATATGAGTCTAAGCTTGCAACTCTATTCTATTTATTTCTATTTGTTGATTGCCAGCTTTAATTTCTGTGAAATGCATGGTAAAAAGTCATTAAAACTTTTTATTTCAAATATAAAATGCAAAAAGCAATGTCATGGCAATATTAATTATAGATAAATCGAAGAGAATGTACATTAAAGTAATTAAATAACTCTTTTTGTAATATATAATTCTTGTTTGTTATATTTGTATTATATAAATAAGAAGAGTTGCTTGAAATAACTTTACACTCCAGAATTTTCCTCTGTTTACGATTTGCAATTCTTATTATTATTAATTTTTCATTATTTTCCGATTGCATGCTTTACATTTTTGTGTTGTGCCTGGGAACGAGAGGCATTACAAGCTTTTATATAAATTATAGATGAATCGAAAACGTTGCTTTAATTTTACAATTTACTGGGAATCACTTAACTGTTTTTTTACTACCTTTAATTTAATAACTTAATTATGTACTCACCTCGGCCTGTGTGGTGGTGGAGACGGGGGCCGCTTGTGCCGCTGCCAGAATGGAGAGCAGGGTGCCTACGACTATGAACACTGAACTTTGGCAGTTTGTCATTTTGTTGCTGTTGTTGCTTTTGCTGTTGCTGTGATTGCTTCTGTTGTGGATGGTAGTTCCCTTAGTAATTGTCATGTAGTTCCACTTGCTCTGTGGCACTTTGAACTTTATATCACTGCAAAGGCAAAGGTGGAAAGAAGGTCAATTAATATTTCATAAAGCCGGGGCGGAGTAATAAAGCAGCCAGCAGGAACAGGCCACTGTCCAGAATAGAACGTAGCACCGAGAACGGACCAGGCCAAGTACAAGTGCAAAAGGGCGAACGGAAATCGTGCCCAACTTCCACTCTTGCCGCTCTTTCCCGACCAACAGGTTGAATGTGGCACACATTTTCTGTGGCAGGTGGAACGGCAAACGGAAGTGGCCAAGATTCGCGGCCTGTGGTGGGGTCAGGGGATATCGGTTGTAATCCAAGTCGTAGTAAAAAATAGTACAACTCGAGTACGTCCACTTAGCAGGCCTCCTTACACCTCTTACACTCTTACGTACACTTGGAAAGAATGGAGAAACCCCCTTGAGGATACTCTCTAAATATGCGAGACCCCCCGCAAACGTGCTCTAAGAATATATACAGCCCCTGCCCTAAGGAGTCTAAGTATACCCTAATAACTTTAAATCTAATATACAACCAACTATATCAGACCGGGCAAAACAACACTCTTTTTATGGCTGAGAAAAGTACAACGAACTGGCTACAGGCTGCTTTCTCCTCGCATCTTGTGAAGCCATTAAGTCCTCGGCCTAAGAATATCTCCTTATCGGTGGACAAATATTTGCAGAGTTTGCTTCCATATCTTGCTAATCCCCGAGAGCATTTCAAATTCGCTGAGAGCTCTCCTCGCGGCAGCCCCAGCTGTCCTGCAGCTGATATTTTGATCGGCGTATCAAGTCATGTGGTCGTCTGTGGTCTGGCCAGCTCGGACGTCATAAACGGCTTTAGTGCTTTAGCTTTAGACTCCAATTAGAATTTAATTTTAGACTGTGCGCCGGTAAATACCAAGTCAGCAATAACCGTAAAGGATTTGTCCGGGGCCTCTGTGTGTATATTCTGATATTTGATTTACTAAAAATAGCCAGCAGTTAGTTTTCCTTAGTTGATGTTGTTGTTGATTTGTCTGTGGCATGGGTGTTGACCTAGGGCACAAGACAACTGTCAGAATAGTCTTAGTAAACTTTCAGGTTTATGAAGATGTTTATCCCGACTATATCTTGCACCTATGCTGATAGATCTGTTATCCCCAGGGCCCAAATGTGACATCAGCAGAAAAAACGAGTGCGATAAGTCATATCAAGTATACGCCAAGTGGCAGGCACTCGCTTCTGCAAATATATAATATATATATATGCATGGTATAGGCCGACCGTGTGGTTGTTACTGACTAATCGCCGGGGGATTTCGGGGCCGCTTTATGTCCGGCAATTAGCTGCTAGAATCCAGACAAATGAACATGCAAATATGTATATAATGAATATACGCACAGGCCATCACCATCACCATCACCATCGCCCGGGCGTTATCTGATTACAATAATTTCTGCTAAGCAAATACCATAAACAATTTCCATTTTCTCTTTTTTCGTTGTTGTTGTACTGTTTTGGGCAAATGGTTGGGTTCGTCTGGGTTGAAGGTCGGCGGGCTGACAGTTTAAGGTTAGCGCCGTGTGGTTAACACCACGTTGACGGGTTGAGGGTTCCAGTGGGGCCGCTGGCTGCTCTGTCCTGGAATCCGAACTGTGGGTTGTCATAACAATGGACGCATTTCGCTGTCCTGTGTTAGATCAATAAAAGCGAGTTTCGCCAGCCTTTTCTGAGTGGAGTGCTTGGGTCGATGGCGAAATTGCATTCAACGCGAAAGTTTTCTTTGGCTTTGCCCTAATACTTTAATCGGAGCGGTTACGTATACGACATGTAGAACACGTCTCTGGGTGTGTGGTCGATTGACCCGATTTAGGTCATAAATGAGGGCTCCTACTGAGGCTGATAAGCTCTCTGTCTTTTGGCCAACTTCCAACCGGTTTAAGTTCTCTGAAATCTTAATTTTCGGGGAATGTGAATCGAATTTCTGCGAAGAGCTGAAAGTGAGTCACACAAGACTAAAGAGATGCTAATTATAATAAATTTGGATTCCAACCAGTTTGGCCATATAGAAAAATACCCCCAAAGTTGCTTAACAACACAGAAATTCCAATTGCTATAGCCTTTTGGCATTGTTCACCTTATCAGTTGACTTTCCCACAACGCAAGTGTTTTATGCCCCGTGAGCGATAAGATATGGTAGGAATCGGGAGACTTATGCTTTGGAAATAAATACTACAAGTATATATGAAAATCCCAATAAATATTTTGGGGTATGAGTCTCTGCACTAAAACCCATTATAGGCACAGAGTCCAAGTGTTTGTCTAGAACTTGACCTTAGTGATATGACCAACTTTTCGAAATTAGGCGCATTTCGAAATGTATTTCCAACCGATTTCGATTCAAGTTCATTTCCAAAGTGGAGTGCATTTCGGGTAGGGGGACCAAATGCTTGGAATTAGGCCTGATTAATGGGTTCGGTTGCCCTGCTTGACCTTCCAATTGAGTGAGCGAGTGGGATGTCCGCCGACTTAGCTGCAGTTTCGGATCAATGAACTATGCGTGCCCCTCCTGCCTTTGTTGCAACACTTACAAATTAATTAATTAGCCGTTGCTGTCGTCGTCGTCGTCGTCGTTGTTGTTTATATTCCGCTGTGGATGTGTCGTCGCTTATTATTTATTGGGCTATCCTTTTGTCTCTCAGTGTCTTTATGTCTGGACGAGAAACTGCACTAATTGCTCGCTGGCACTTCCATCTTAACGCGCGCTTCCGCGTTTTTTAAAAACAAAAACTCAAAACTGAACGCGGTTCACTTTTTGATTTGATTTGATCTTCTCCCTCTTCGATTATTTCTTATATATATTATTTATAATTTAATCGTTGTCGGTTTATTTGGGGGGTTTATTATTGGTAAATAATATATTTTGGCTTTTGGCTGACTCGAACTTCGTTTCTGTTTCTCGCCGCTAGACACATCCGCCCTGGACAACGCGCAAATTTCAACTGATCTTCGGCGATCGCTGGAAAGCCGACGACGACTTCTCTGCCATCGGCAGCAGCGATGCCAGCGGCGGCAGCGAAGCCAGCTGAGGCAGCGATCACTGAAGCTTTTCGCCAAATGGAAGAAGAAAGGGGAAAAGCTCTCGGGCGGCCTTAACAGCCGCCAGCGTTGATGCCGATGCCGGGGAGGCGGCCGAAACCTGTTGCCAATAATCGAAGTTGTCCCTTCCCCGGGCCTCGCTTCCTCTCCTTTCACCTCTTTGCTCTTTGGCGGGCGCGGGGGGCGTATGAGTAATGCGGTTTCTTGGAATCATCCAAATGTGTCATGAGTCGCGCGCGGGTCCAGCCAGCAGAGGCAGAGCCGCGGCAGAGCAGCAGCTACAGATACAAATTCGGTGGCTATTGACAGTTTATCTTGAAGTTTAGCATATTCCTCCCGCTTTTTAACAGCTTTTGTCTCTCGAATTTCCGCCTCACACAAAATATATCGCTGTTTATATATATATTTATGAATGAATCTTGCGGTATGGGTTTCCCGCGGCCAATCGGTTTCTCAATGAACGTATGAGTAATGCGTAAACAAATAAGCCAATAAATGAGGGCCTTTTATACCTTGTGTAAAAACTAAGGGGCACACCTCCTAAGGAGATCGTTTCGTGTCAAGTAATTTTATTAGTCTTCGTTTTTTGCTTAATAGTTTTTGGAATTATGCAAATGAAGTGCGAAAAATGGAAAGTCATAATTTAAAATGATTAAAAAGGGGAATAGAATTTGGGAATTGATTTTTATTAACCGTTTAAGAGTTAACTTGAAAAGTTATTATTATTGCTCTTTTGTAATATGTTTTGTTCAAGTCTAAGTGATCCCCTAATCATTATTATTTCATATATTTTCTTCTTAGGGCTTATCTTTTCTCTATTCCAGAGCACGTACTGGCTCTTAAATATTTCTATAAATAATTTATAATTATATATATTTCTCTATTTCGTAGTCTGTAATGTTGTAACAGCTTGAAGGCAATATATATTAATAAAATGACACCCTTGAATTTTTATGTTGAAAATTATTAAAGAAATTTGTTTAATCATTAATTAATTTCTAAAATAGTTTAAAAACAATATAGTAAATATTAAAAAACCCCATTTATGAAATGGGAATTTCATTTTACGATTTCTCCCACACATAACCCATAAAAATCAATGGCAATACCCAGATCTCAACCAGATTTCAAGCGGGAATCTGTGCTAATAAGCTATTCATCTTTGACTCTATCTCCTTCTGGGAATCAATGATATATCTTAATGTGCGGCTGTTCCATTCCATTAACGTCAATTGAGTGCAATTTGGAGCTGAGTCAGCCTGCAGTGGCTGTGCTTGTGGCCACGTGAAGTAAATTGCCACCTCGCCGAGCAAACAGATCTAGTAATCGCCTGCAAAAACAATTGTTTACAAACACGGGTTGAAGATTCAGCTAAAATGCGAATAGCTAAATCCAAAGTGTCCAGATAATGGCAACAAGAGAGACGTTTTCCCTTAACGACAACAATTTCTGAGACTCTGACAGAACAAAGCGGAGGCTGTGGTATAAAAGTCAAAGCCATTTATTCATGGACCAAGTGCAGCTGGTCCCCTCTCCTGGATATATATACTTACATATGTATGTATATATATATAGTCTTCTTCTGTTATGGCAATGGAAGACAAGTCGACTTGTCGTCGTGGTCGCCCCGCTGTGATCTGCGATGCAGTTGGAACAATGAAATATTTATGAGCTTCTTCTGCCTTTAATGACAACTATTTATGGTATTTTTAGACCATTTTTCGCCCGCTGAAACCATCACCAAGTAAGTGGAAAGTTTGTTGGCTTTTGCCGACCGAAGGGGAGTGAACCCAAAACTCAAAAACAAGCAATTTTGCATTGACTTTTGCCTTTGAACTGCGGCGATCCAAGCAGAACCTATATATATATATGTAATTGACATACAGATGGGGCACTAGATAATGCTAATTGTATATGAATATAGTATGGCCGGCAGCCAGTATATCATTTGTACTGGCTGACTTTGAGTGCGAAAAACTGAATAACTATTTTTCAAAAACTCAATCACGTCACGGTCGGGCTTTGATAGTCGTTTGGCAAAGCCAATATATATATGAAGTATCTGTCTAGTGGGATCTATAATTATATGTATTCATGTTCTACAAAGCGGCTCTACGTGATGATTGTTTAGGCAATGTCAGAGTCCCCACAAAAGATGTTTTAAACGGTCCCCAAAGATGACTCACTTACCATCCAGATAATGTAAAATTTCGTAATGGAATTTGCATGAACCAATTTGTGTTATAATAATAATCAGGGCAGTTGGGTTACCCGTGTGTATTCCTCCAGCAAATATTGCACAAAATCGTCTCTGTTTTATTTAAGTTCTTTGCCGTTTTGCTTTCAAACTTTATCAGGCATTATCTTTCGGCCGATTGCAGCGATTAGATCTTAGTTCTTAGATAAGAGCCCTGCGAACCCAGACACTATCACTCATAGGGGCTTCTCACTCACGGTCACTTGATTCACTCGATTCACTTGATTCACTAGATTTCTCATTCTCTGAGTATAACCGAAAGATTCTTTGAGGGAATATCCATGTTTAGATTATTGGCATTTCTACTACAATTCAGTTAAGAATAATGAATAATGCCGCAGAGAGCTGCGATAGCGACCGATTCCCAGCAGGTTCCGAATACGACTCGTCTCGGGCTTTTTGCTTTCTGGTTTTCTGTTTTTTCTGCCTTTCGCGTCGTCGTCTTTGTGCCACCCACCTCCCTGCCCACCTACCTAGCTGTAAGTGTGTGTGTGGGTCTAATGGTAGCTGCTTTACGAGTCACGCGAACATCCATAAAAACACATGCTCAAACACACACACACCCACTGTGATAGTCCTCGTTTTTGGTGGTTGAAAGTATAAAGCCACCCCTCCGCCTCCTCCCTTACGTCCTTTGCATGTGATTACAAAGCAACAGGAGCTAAAGCTCGGGGACTCACCTCAGGCTAGCGCTGTTAGCCGGCTGTTGGTTAGCCCAGTTAGTGAGCTAGCAGTTAGTACGACGACTGTTAGATGATTCACCCGAGGGCGCAGCTTTCTCTCACTCTCAACGGAAAGCTCTAGGCGACTAATTTGCGGCTACCACTTATTCCGATTGCTTTTAATTTTTGTATTTTTTAAATTAGGATCTGCCTTGCTGCAGCAAGCTGCCGTAACTGCAAGTTCGTTGTGCGTTTTTTGCGCTAGACTGAGACTTCAAGCTCTCAACTTAGATTCTTTTATATGGCCGGGCCGCAAGGCGATCCCCCGTTTCGTTATGTTCCGATCGGATTCGCACTGCTCCGTTCCGATTGGAGGCGACAGTCATCACAGCAACGTCCTTCCCTGTCATCACCCCCCCTTTCGAGTGTTTGCGGTGCTGGGATCTTCCTCGTTTAGTTCGCATAACGGGAGACTTACGCATCGGAGATCGGGTTCATCGGTTCACAATGTGTTCTATAATAAATTGAGTCAGTTGAGGCTGGGAAAAGTGGTGTCGATATCTCCATTTAGACTTACATTTCCGAAAGAAGTTTATAAGATTTTTAAGGGGAGACTTAGGCATCGGGTATGAATGTTAACTTAATAAATAATTAAGTGAATCACTGGAGCTAATGATATATATATCTAAATTTTTCCCAAAGCTATACTTAAAAGGTCAATAAGTTTACAACGTGAACTTGAAGATAAAGAAAGTAATTCACATTAAATGTACTCAATGTAATATTTACGCATGGTGTTTCTGCAATCCGTACTGAACTCTTAATTTTATGAGTCACCCCAAGTGACAGTCCCTTCGATCGGGAAACCTATATCTCCAATTCAAGCCATATCTTTGACTGAAGTCCAAGAGTCCAGTTGAATCATTTGAAATGCATGCCGTCCTCTGGCGCGCGATTCATTCTGTTTTTGGTTTCGCTCGCTGCGATGCTAAACTTCGCTTTATATTGTTCTTATATTTTGATTTATACGCACTCGAACGTGCCGGAATGTCGTCCTCTCGCTCTCTTCCTCGAAAAAAAAAGAAAATAAAGGAAAAAAACTGAAGATCGGTTGTAATGTCTGCTTTTGTCTCTCAATTAAATACTTTGAAATGGCTGTCGCACAAAACAAATAAACTAAGGATTTTAGATATACAAAAGAATAATTCAATGCCAAGCAGGAAGTCTGATTGAGGAGGAGTGATTGTTTTGATTAAGACCGCTGATTGATGGGGCCGCTCCTTATTCGGGGTTGGGTAAAAAGAAATCCTTCAAGCTGTAATCTTTGTTCAAAGTTCGAACGATTGCATTAAGAGAGGGATTTATTAGAAGGAACATTTCTTGATTTCTTGGATAAAACACAAGTTAATTAGCTGCTTAATATCTTAATTTTCTATATATTAAAATATATAAACAATATTTTATATTATCTTATTTAATTTGTAATTTTATTAACCCTTTTAAATAATATTTTCTTTCAAAAAGAGACCTCTCAACGCTTTCTAGGTTACTATGTGATCCTGTTTAAGTCGTAAATAAAATATTGACTATTTAACGATCCTTTACTTAGCTTTAACAGTTCCTTTGTAGTCTTTACTATCAACTAGCAGGCTATATAATTGCAATTTACAGGAAAGCGGACAACTTATTAGCGAGAATCCAACGCACCTAGCAAATAAACTTACTTTTAAGTATACTTGTCCCGTTGCACCGCCACTCATATATTACTTTTGAGTTTAATGAATGATAAATAAAGTTGTCCGCCGACCTTGACTCCTCGCAGGCCATCTTTTGTCTGGATCTTGTCCGAAACAGACACAGTAGGGTACGTGTTGTGGTCGTAGGACACACCCTGATGATGCATCACCCATAGCACCCATATGGCATATGGGTTAACCCTTTGACAATGCACATGCGATGGTTCATATTTCGTCTGCCTGACTATCCCGGGTCTTCTTGGAAATCTCTTGAGTAACGCTATCACCCAAAAATACAATTTAATAAATACAAAAGCACCAGGCCAGACCACAGCCAGCTGAGGCTAAGCAAACGTGCAATGCAAATGAATAAACCGAATGAAGAAAACCGAAATAATATTATTTTCACTAAAGTGCCTCTGCCCGCTGAGTCATCATTAGTATCATCATCATCATCATCGCAGAGTCTGCTCTCTGTGGATCATCCCTGCCTAGCCCTGCAGACACTGGCATTTGATTTCAATTAGCACAAACATTGGACTGGAAGAAACTTCTGACGGAGGAGTGTCACGCCGACAAGCTATTCCGATTCCGATGCCGATTCTCAAAACAGATGTCCATGTCCATGTCACTGCTGACCCTCTCGGCCGGCCGGGGCTGTCTGTCATTCAGCAGTCGATAAAAATCCAATAAAAAGGCAACATTTCTAATTTGCATTCTACATATGTGTTGTACTATATAGAAGCTGCATTCCAACTAGGGCGACGCGAATGAGGGGTGTCGGGGGAGTGCTCTTCCCTGGACGGGAATATATACTATAAACCATTTAATTGAGAAATATAAATGCTTCTGGGAAGCTGCTGCTGTGAGCTCAAGGCTAGCGTAAGAAATGTTTCAATGTACTAAGAATTATTTTAGGTTTCCCAAGAATTTATTTTAATTATATATATTTTGAGGAAGTTTATTATACCCTTGCAGGTAACAATTTAAATATATCATAGCTAAGCCAAAAATGCATTAATTTCGATTCGGAAAGCAGTTTTGTGTTAGTTTTCATTAATTTAAAAAAACTGCATACCAAATTTAAAATTTTAAGAAATCAAAATTTTCGGTCATTTTTGACAATTTTAATGAGGTAACCCCTTATCAAATTTCGCAAAAATGGCCAAAAAATCGATTTCTTCCTAACATGTCTAGAAAGATTCGCATGTTAATGCTGATCAAGAATATATATGGTTTATGGGGTCGGAAATGATTCCTTGACTTAGAAAAATATTATTTTGTATTATAAAATCGGATTTTTTATATTAGAAAACTTCTTGATATTTTTTTAAAATTAAAAATATCATAACTCGGCCAAAAGAACATTAATATTAAATCGGAAAACTGCTCTGTGCAAGATTTTCTACAGTTAATAAATCTGCATACTTCATTTAAAAATTTTGAAAATTCAATTTTTTATCAAAATCAAAAATTTTAATGATGTAACCCCTTAAAAAATTTTGCAAAAATGGCCAAAAAATCGATTTCTTCCGGACATATCTAGAAAGATTCCCCTGTTGATGCTGATCAAGAATATATATACTTTATAGGGTCGGAAACGTCTCCTTCACTGCGTTGCAAACTTCTGACTGAAATTATAATACCCTGCAAGGGTATAAAAAAGAAGTCTTGATTCATATACCCTTTCTGTCTGTTGTAAGAACGAAATTTATTGTTAATGATAGCTAGGCCAAACGTTTGATAGTTAATAAATGGTTAATAAATCTGCATTGCAAATTTAACTTTAAAAATTACAAACAAACCCCTTATAAAATTAATAAATTATCTAAGCAAGCTTGTACTACCTTACTCACCTTGAAAGATCCACCCTAAATCGAAGGCCTATTACCATAGAGAAGACCTGCACACGCTCAGCAGTCACTTTATGACTTTTCGCTATAAAATTAATAATTTTGTTTTGTTGATTTATCAGCATGGCGAACACGTTCACACGAGGGCAACAACCGCGCCTGCGCAGAGAGCTTTAGCCGCAGAAATCCACAAAAATAAAAACGAACAAAAATACAGCGAAAAAAAAGTGCTTGTAAAATGTCAAAATATTGTTGACCAAAATGCCCAGGGTCCAGTGCAAGCCCAGGTGCTGTCCAATTACCAAAACAAAGAATTGCCCAACGGCAAACATAAACACGTGAATTGTCTGGCTATTTGCATTTGTCAAATAAAAATCTGAAATGTAAAAATTCAACAAAATATTCCAAATGCAGCAGCAGGAGCTCTTTTGTTTTTGTTGGTTTTTTTTAAACTTTTTTTTGAACCCGAGTTAGGTGAACTTTTTGGGCTTTGAAATGCAAAAGAGCAAACTCCCGACAAGTGGAATAATGAAGAGAGTTCAAGAAACTTGCTGGAATATATATTTTACTGGCACCTTGTTTATCCAAAAACTTTAAATTGCCTTTTGCTTTCCTTTGTGATGCTGGGCTGTGCCCTTGGGCCATAACTTTCATTTCGTTTCGCATCGATTCGTGTCCTTTTCCTGGTTCAATGGAATCTCGATATTTATTTTGGCTATATTTCATTTAATTGCGTATACGCAGCGTTTAAGCCAGCAAAAACAACGAAAAAATTGCCATCATAATTCCGACTCTCTTCACTTTGGAGTCGCTGCACGTCCGCTATGCCGCATCACGTATTAATGAGTACTTTCCTTCCTCACCTCGCCCACACGCCCACGCCCACACTGCCGCACACACCCACACCCACTCTGGCGGAATCCTTGGGACTGGAATAATAATAATAATACTTATTGCACTCAGGTCGCCCGTGTAGACAAACAGTTATGGCATTTAATGGCAAAGGAAAACATGAATCCGCGCAGCCAGTCATAATTTCTGTTCTGTTCTGTTCTGTTCGTCTTTGTTTTCTCGGCAGCCCAAGAAAAGCAATCATGAGGAGGCAACGAAGGCCACTTGGGAGACTGGGACTGCCTCCTCATCCGCAGAGTAGCCCCCGGGGCAAACACTTCAGTTTATATTCATTGCAAAGCTGAATTGTTTATTGCACTCGATGAAAACCGCTTGATTAAATGCACCTGGATTGTCACTTCCGTCCGCGAAGTACTTCCTCTGCGTTTGACTCCTCTGCCTTTGACTCCTCCACCTCAGTAGCCAAAGAAGTTGAAGCCGCAGAGCAGCTTGTCCGGCCGGCGAATCCTCAGAATGCCAAACTGAAACACTGACATGTCATCGTCCTCCGCCATATTCATGTCCAAAGCCATCAGCTTCTCGGCGGCCAGGGGATGCCAGGAGCCGAAGGTGCAGGCGGAGTTCATCTGGTTGAAAAATGGAATGTCAAGAGAAAGAGGAGGCAATGGTTTATGGATTACCGTTTACCTCTTTGCTGTAGTAGTGACAGCGTCCATTGAGCCGTGTGGACGGAACATACTCCACGAAGTCCACCTGCGGACAGTGGGGCAGTAGTAAAGCCAATCCTGCAACAGGAGTAAAAACGAAATATTTAAGACAAAATAAAGTATTAAGGCAACTCAGATCTCACCTATAAACCCGGAACTGGGAGGATTCCGGCTGATTGGTCGATTTCCGGCAAACATTTGCAAACTCTGCCAGAGTCGCCACACGGAATGCGGATCAATGAGAAAGGCCCGCGACTTGGGATAGCGACGCCTATATATCTCATAATTGGTAAACAGATCGTAGTCCGCACTGGTCAGCCAATCCTCCAGGGTGCCATTGTACTTGCCCGGATCCCAGGCGGCGATTGTTACATTCCGGAAGATGGGGGCATGGGTGAAATCGAACTCGGGCTTGGTGACCACCTAGAAAACTGCAGTGCTTAGCAAATGCAATCGAAAGTGCGGAACTGCGTGCAAAATCTACTTGGGAATTCACCACACGAATTGTGGTTTTGCTGCCAACATCCACCTCGTGTCCTTGCGTTGGCGCGTGATTGAATCTCATCACAATGTCGTGCGTGTCTGGGAGCAGGGCAGAGAGCGAAATAAAAGCAGAAAAATTATAAATAAACGGAATTAGAGTAGACGAGTAAATCAAATTGTTCATGAGCGCGTTCTCTTCCGACTAATTGTGCATGCAGGCTGCAGTTTTTGCAGTCTTGCTGCCTCGATTGCAGTTCGTAATGTACAAATAAATAAAACAAAATGGGTTTCAGGGATGTCCTTAATAAAAATGGGTACTTGGAGGGGTTTAAGAAAGAGCTTAATAAGTAGTGTAAAGACATAAAACTAAGGAATAATATTGTCAATTTACTAAAAAAAAAGAATTAAGCATTGTGACTTTCCACATTATATAAAGTATCTCTATTAAGTTATTCCCCTACCTATAAATCGACCCAGTTTAGAACCTGCCAGGGATCCTGCACTGGACACAATAGCACAGGTCTTGATATCCTTGATATTGCGAAAGAGTTTCTGTCGTGGAAAAAGTCTCCCAAAGGGCAGCTTATTAAAAGGAGGATCCTTTCGGCGCAGGACCCTCACGCCCGCCTCCATTACCAGACATGTAGAGGGATAGTACTGCTCTTCGAAGCTGTCCCCAAACACCGGCTTGTAGTCCACATTATAGTGATTCGCCTGCGACTCGTTGACCGACTCAATCATGGCCTTCTCGAAGGTCTGCACAATGCGCTGCCGGAACTGCTGGGTCTTGTTGTGGCACAGCTCCGAGTTCTTGTCATGGCAGAGGTACAGCTTTGGGCTCAGCGTGAGCTTGGTGTTCTTGGAGACCTTCAGCCGTGGATGCGGGGCCAACTTGGAGGAGTTTATGGCTGGATTCTCGCGGCTCTCCACAATGAACTTCTCGTTGGGATTCCAGCGAACATGGAAGACGCTGCGTGGCTTGCGATTGCTGTAAATAGTTTCATTTCCGCTTCCTGTGAAGAAGTCATTTGCGCCGACGCTCTTGTACAATCTGAAAAGGGGTTTCTAAGATAATACGCACCGTTATCCCCCTCGTGAAAATTCACCTCGGGTTCGTGTCCCCGCTGAGCTTTCGCCTCGCCGAGCTGCTCGCTTTGAATTATTAATGCGGCGCCGAGGAGGAGGCTGATGATGAGTGCCGCCTGACACTGACCTGGCAATGCGCGTTTCACTTGTCTCATTTTCCACACATAATACGCTATTTGAACGGGGTTGGGGGAGGTCCTCAATAAATATTTAAATGAGGCAAAGATTCAAGTCTGACAGAAGTCATTTGTATGAAACATTCACTCAGAATCGCAAACTTATCACTTTGTTGGGTTATTTTGGAATTTCTTGGAATATATTTTACATCTTAGTAAATATTGCTTGGGTTTTTATTAAGAAATATGATTGATTTAACTAAAATAATATATTTTTTTAGGTTATTTAGTAATATATGCATTAAACACTGATATTAAATTACTTATAAATAGTAGGGTTTTTAATACCTTTAAAAATGAGTCTAAAAGTATGCAATTACAAATTGTTGGTGTAAATCAATTCTTTCTACAATTGCATACTTTTGGACACCTTATTAAGGGTTTTAAGAAGATCCATGATTTATTATTTCCAGTTATTATAGTTTAAACATAAATAAAATAGCACAAATAATTATATCTACTTGTTTGTAACAGTATAAATATCCCACAAATTTTGAGCTCATTCCTGATCAATTCTACACCATATTAAAATACCCTTTAACCTTAACCATCCATATTAAGTAACAAAATAATCGGGCCACCTGTCAACTATAATTTAAAAAGTTCGCCAAGCATTCGGCCACCCAAAATCCAGCTCCCAGCAATTACGTTCCAAACTATTCCATATAATTGAGTTTCAAACTATTTATTTTGTTTTTGGGGGAAATTTCCAACTCATTTGCCATGCCAGTCTCAATTAGCATTGACCTTTTTCCCTTATTCACGGACCTGAGTACGAATCCGTGTCGCTGTCAATTCGCATAAAGTTATAAACTTTTCATGCCGTATAAAACGATTTGGAAGCATTTGCAATTAAAGTTTCCATTGTGATGGCGCCAAAATTTATGCAAAAATAGCCGCAAAAAGCGCCTGAATAAATAGCCCAAAACGTACGAACACACAATTTGACCGTTGTCGCACAACTCGTTAACGCTGGGCAAATATTTAGCCACCACACACACACACACCAAAATGGACTCGGAAAACAAAAACAGTTACCCCGACCGCCAAAAAGTGCGTCTGCTAAAGAAACGCACGCGAGAAAATCACCGGAATACTACGACGACGGCTTGTGAATATTTTCCGGGGCCCGCATCCGCAGCTCGAACTTTCCCTTTCGCCAGCCGAAACGTATCTGAAGCCCAAAAACCTGGCTAAAGCCGACCGATGTAGGAGCCAGCAGCGGCAGCAGAAGCAGCAGCTTCGGCAATGGCGGCATCCCGATTGCCTTGCTGCCATTCAGCCGTTCGTCCTTTCGTCCTTTGCGCCTCGTTTTCCTTTTGGCTGCGCGTAATTAGAGTGTGTGTGCCGTTGTTGTGGTGGCTGCGGATGTTGGCGCTGTTACTGCCGCTAAGCACCTGCTCGAAAAGTGAAAGTTATATAATACAATGTCGTCGGATCCAACCCAAGCCAAGCCAGGCCAGGAAGGCACTTTAAACGCAAGTGCGTGCGAGGTTTCCACACATGCCAGGAGGGCTTTGCTAGTAGTTTCCCTCGGTTTTGATTGCAGGCACTTTGCCGGCTCCCGCATCTGGGAAATCAAGATTTTCCGCGAGAACTCCCCTGGCGTGCATAATTATATTGGCTGTAGCTTTGGCGATATTATTTAATTGAATTCAGCCAGGCAGTTCCCTTCTAGCTTGAGCTTTGTGCAAACAAAAGGGGAGGCCTTAAAGACCTAAAGTCGGGTATAAATAATTTATGACAAAATCTAGACTAACGAAAGCCAAAGAATTGATTTAGTTTTAGAAAAAAATGGTTTAAATTTCTTACAAAATTTTAAATAATAACAAAAAAGCAGCTAGAAGAATTCTCCGAGTGTATTTCTGTTTTAAAAATATTAAAGCTTACTTTTAGGCTTTCCCTGAAATGATTTCAAATCTCTTGACAGCAAAAAGTGCTAGTATAATGGCTTCTAGAGGGAAAATAATTTTTTTTAGTTGGAAAAATCTACCCTAAAATTCAACTAGCTAAGCCAGACAACAACCTAATGAATTTATGGGTAAATATATTGTTATTTTTATCCCGTTCTGTTCCTGCTTTTCCCCTGGGAGTTCCTAATTATTTTGTTTGCTGGATGTTTTTCCCCCTTGTTTCCCTCGTTTTTTATTCCCATTTTTCTCCAGCATCCATAAAGCAGCTTTGTTGGAGGACCAAACCCATGGGACTTGACACGTGTCATCGGCGGGCGGTGGTGTCCGGGATTATCCGCCATCCCAGTCAGAGGAAGTCAAAGGCATTTTCTCGTATATATATATATTTGTTTTGTTTGTTTTTTGTTTTTTTTTTTGTTTGCTTTTTCGGTTTGAACAATAATTATTATTTTTGTAATCATTTATTATTCATCGTCATAATCATAATAATTTTTCTATACAAATACATTCAATAACAACAATTTATTTTTTATTATTTTCGATTTTTTTTCCGTTTTTGGTATTACGTTTACGTCATTGTTTAATTATTTTACAATTACCATAATTATGCCAGTTGCCATTATTATTACATAGTATTACTATTTTCCATCTTCGTTCTCGTCTTTGAAAATCTTTTTTTCATTACTTTAGATAGTTTTGGCTGGGGGAATTTACTTTCTTTTCGTTTTTGTTTCTCATTTTTTTTTTTTTTAGATTTTAGCTTAAGGACTATGAAATTTCGTTTTTTCCGTGTTCTATTTTTGGATTTTTTATCGTTTTTTTTTATAATTTGTTGATTTTCTAGGTTTTCTTTTGTTTTTTCTCTTAAGTTTGTATTTTTTGTTTGGTTTTAAATAACAAGTACAGAAGATTTCAGTTTAGTTTTGTTTTTCGGTTTTAAAGTTTTTAGCTGTCTCATGTGGGATTTTAGATTTTACGTTTTTGTTTATTTGTTTTTATATCAGTTTCCACTAAATTACTGTTATCTGGAAGAGGGGGGGCTTGTGTCACTGTAAATTTCGAGTTTTTCACTAGGCAAACACTTCTATGGTTTTCACTGGGTTTTCAATTTTACGGAGACATTTTTGTTTCGGTTGTTTGTTTTGCTTGTTGTGACTTTCCTTTAAATTAATCTATGTTTTCGTTTAATTAAATTAAATTTGACTTGACGCTATGAATTTCATTTATATTATTACTTTACTTTTCGCCATTGTTTCTGGTTTCTGTGCTCGCTTGCATGATATCAAATACAACACATTTTAACGTTTCATTTTTGGTTTTTATTTTTTTTATTATTTTTATACTTTTGGTTTTTGTCCTGGCACACAATTATGTAATTTCATTTTTGGCCTAAAAAGAATTTTGTGTCTCCAATTTCGGTTTTTGCTTTTTAAAAATCTCTTTCATTGTTTTTTTTTTTACATATTTTGAATAGTTTTTTGGTTTTTGTAAAAAATAATTGTGTAGCGCACGCTGCAGCGGAGCTATTCGTTTCGTCGACTGATCTTTTGTTTATGTTTTTTGGTTGTGTGGCAGCGGCTAATCAATTACAAAAATTATTGTATAATTCGTGCTAATTGGTTATTGATTCGGATTTGGAATTTGAGTGTGTGTGTGTGTGTATGCGTGTGGATCGCATGAGATGGCTTCAATGCAGTAATGTCGTCTTTGTCTACTGTAAAGTAATGCCCAATCGATGGATCAGATCTGGTGCTATGATTTTTACCCACATTACGTACACAATTCAACTAGTTTTTCTCTAAGCGCACTGGGGGGGGACCAGGGGACCAGGAGATGATCCTGCCTCGCCTTCCGTTGTGCGTCGTCCAACGCCTAAAATTTATTTCGTACATACGCTAAATGCCCCCGGGGTATACGGAGTTCTCGGGGGCCGGACTTGGGGGATCGTACCGGGAATGCCCTATTGCCCGCCCACCGCCTTCGTCTCCGCCTCCGTCGCCGGCCTCTACTCCAGTTCCATCTCTATTTATTGTTTACATTTAAATAAATTAACATTTAATTTATTATTATTTAGGCATCTATTCATGTTAACTATATTATATATATCAAAAAGTTTTACAAAAGTACACAATAATTCATAACAATTTGCATTCTATATGCGCGCAATTTGTGCCAGCGGCTCTCTGTCTGTCTGTCTCATTCTGTTCCTTTACTGTTACTTGCTCTCCATTTCCCCGTTTCCGTTTCCGTTTCCGTTCCGCTTCCGTTTCGTACTGCCATTGAAATGTTTTGATAACGGTTTCGTAGCCACCCCCGCCCTCCTACCGCTCGTGCTTGCTTTTGTTTTTCTTTTTTTTTTTTGTTTGGTTTTTGCTTAGAAAATGTCTTGCATTCGCCTCAAAATGTACATACAGTTACCACCCCGTCGACGAGCCGAGATAAATGAAAAGTTGTTCGGCCACGTAAACCCCATACATATACTTTGCATATACATATATGTACTTTATATGGAAAGAGTACCGTAATTAGCGGAAACTTTGGGGCGAATGAATCATAAAGTTGCAAAAGAAGTCTAGGAAGAAATAATCGTAGAATATGGATCTTTTTGGTAATCATGAAAATGATATATAGTCGAGTTGAATTGTTCATACGTTATCTGTATTTACAATGATTTATTGATATGGGGGGGGGGGCTAATAAAACACAGAGAGAGAAAGAAAGATATAGAAAGAGATTTTTAGAGAGATAGTGATAGATGTGGAGGGTTGTTCGCTGTGAAGGCTCCTGCTGCTGCTGCTGCTGCTCTGGTTCGCTATATCTTTTACGTTTCTACTACAACATCTAACAAAATCCATACCATCGTATCGGCATCGTATTCCTATATCTCCTCCTAAAGTAATTTCGTCAGTTTCTAATGCAAAAATTCTCCCAGAAGTTCATTTCGGAAAAGCATTCCCCTAATAGACTTAAAAACTTGGTAACTCTGACACTGCCTGCAGTGGGTTAAACCGTTCGATAAATGGGTCTCAGAGAAGAAGAAATCGAACCAAACATATTTCCCGGAAACATAGGAAAGTACCAAAGAAGTGTGAGGATGTGACAGGTGGACAGGTGGACAGGTGGACAGGTGGTGTGATTCGGTGAAGAACTTAGAATCGTTAGGAGTGCTCAAAGAATGCGTCTCTATATCTGAGTGAGAGTGTGTGTGGGCGAGTGTGCTCTATCAGAGATTCTCTCAAATTGTTTAGTACTTACGTTAATAGTTAATTAGTTAATACCAAATACGACTAATTATTTGAATATTTCTTAATAATATACGCTTTTGGTTTTCCTCTTTTTCGGTTGTTTTTCTCTTATGCATTTCCTCTCTGTTTTGGGGGTTTTCATTTGGGGTTTTTTCTGTTTGTTTCTCATAGGTTTCTCGTTTTTGCTGCAAGTTATGTACGATAAGTTGTTAAGACAATATATATTATATAAATATATATATTTCATATATATAATTAATATATATATATATGCTACATAGGGTTCACTTTATTACAAAAAGTATTATTATTCATTGTTAGTATTTATATAGTAGGCATATTGTTGTTGTTGTTGTTGTTCTCCTCCCACCGATCGCTACCTTATTTGCTGTTTACGTTGCACATTGTTGTTGACTATATCTATCGTACATACATATATCCGTACATACATATGTAGGCTGTAATGTGGTAATGCTTCCGTTTGTTACCCGAATCCGAATTTCTCTATGGAGTCCCCTTTTCTCGCAATGGCGGTCGATGAATCTTAAAGATACGTTTTTTACTGTGCGCTTTATATACTCTTCTTCTCGTTTTGTTTTTCCATTTTGGCTCTTTTTTTCTTTACTTGGATTATACAAATTGTTATGTTTTCATTTCCGTATTCCCTTCCCTTGTTCTGTTTTTATTTTGTAACTAAATAAAGACATTTTTAGACACTTTAGCGGTTCTCCATTGCCGTTAATTGTTTTAATTGTTAATTAAATCGCTCCCTCATTCTCGACTATGCTAATTCCCAATACATAATCGCCTATGTGTCGGTTTTAAGTTTAAACTAATTTAAGTAAAGTTCACGTTTCGCATTTTACTTGTTTTGTTTTTTTTTTTTTTTTTTTTTGAAAGGTGGTTGATACGCGGCCTCTGACAAATTGTTTATGTTTTTTCCCCCCTTTTCCCTGCAGCACTTGAGCCTGCCTTGGGGGTTTTCCCTTCCTTCATTTCCGCAGTTTTCAAAATTTTCCTTTAGTCTAGTAAATTTGGATTCTTAATTTTCCTTCAGTTATTTTTTTTTTTTTTTTTTTAGCTAACCTAAACTTTTCGTATTTTTGCTCGCCAGTAATTAAATTAATAACTATTTATATTTTCCTTCGGTTTCCCCAGCTTTGTTTTTTTTTTTGTTATACTTTAGTTGTATGCGTTTTGTTAAATCTTTTTGGTTTTATGTTTTCTTTTTTTGTTTCCTTTTTTGGTATTTCCGTTATCGTTTATCTAAAAAACCTATTCTTGTGGCAGTTGCTTTTTGTTTAATTAAATATTCATATTCTTTGTTCTAGTTGTAATAAAATATGCTATTTTGGTTTTGTTTCAATAGAGATTTATAATTAATTCATGCTTGTTTTTATTTCATTGGAAAGAGGACCATAAATATTTAATTGGTTTCTGTTTTGCGTGTCATTTAATTCGCATTTCCATGGATTTATGTGTTACTGTGTCTGTCTGTTTCGTATTTTCCATATCCTTTTCCTTCCTGCCATCATACATATATGCCACATCTATTATGCATTCTGATTTAGCTATTATATAAGTATTTGGTTTTTGGCTTATGGTTTTCTTTTTCTGTTTTGGTTTTTGTTAATGTTTTTTGTTTTTGTTTCGGTTTTGGTTTCGGTTCGCTAAAGAGAGAGAGAGAGAGAGAGAGGGTGAGTACGAGTACGTCGTCATTGTTCCGTCCACCGGGTGTAGGTGGCCGCATACCGCTCGCAGGCACTATAAGGCGCCGCTGCTCAGGCAGCGCCACCATCTCCGCCACCAATCGTTTATGTTGTAGTTGAAGTAGTAGAAGTAGCGATAGTTCCTAGTCCTAATGCACCCGCCCTCCTCCACCCTCACTCGCACCCTCACTCGCACCGCACTCGGCCGGGCGTCCCCCTCCCCGCCGTAGTTGGTCAGGCCTTTGAACTTGCTCCTGCTGCTGAAGTATCGCACTTTCCTGCACGTCATCTTATACGTATACGACCAGGACCAGCTGCGGGCGGCTGCCACGGAGAGTCCCGGGGCGCACTTCAGCGGCTTGGCCTTGGGCTTGACCGGCTGCTGGTGGCTCCTGATCCCACTCCTGACCAGCTCCTGCTCGTGACAGTTGGCCTCACAGGCCACCGCCTGGCGACCGCGACCCGTGCCCGTCGCCACCCTGCTGCCGTGTCCACCGACCATCGCGCTCCACTGACAGCTCCAGCGCTGCCGCGCCGCTCCACAGCTGCTGAGCAGGCCGAGCAGGGCGCTCAGCCAGACCAGCAGCTGAGTGGGCGGGGCCGCCACAGCCTCCGTGCCGGAGGCATAGTACGGTATCGTACAGCGACTGGAAACGGAGGGCACGGCGGCACAGTCGCCGGAAAGCGGCGCCTGCGGCATGTCACCCTCCTCGTCATAGTAAAAGACTCCGTCGTGGCGTGCATAGTACGGCAGGCGATCGAGCAGGGTCTGCATGGCATCCGGATCCCCGCCGGTTCGACTCACGTTCCTTAAGGCCAGAGCCACGCTCTTGGCCCGGGCATGCTCGCCGGGATGCGAGCTCAGCGAGAGCGTGATGTTGTGTACGCGGCGGGTGGAGTTGGTAGCAGTGGAAGCATCCTCCTCCGACATCGTTGGAGCGGTGAACTCATGGCACACAGTGCAGATACCGGACAAGGGACCATTGCAGTAGCTGTAGCAGCAATCGTTGGGGCCGTAGCTCGACTTTTCCAGCTGCGCCCCTGTCTCGGGTATGTTTTGATCTAACGGAGGGAATAAAGATATGGTTTAGGTATAGGTAAAGATATGTATTTCGAAGGGACACTCACCTAGGCAGAGAAATGTCGGCTCGCCGGCATATTGGGTGGGCAGCGCGGGAGCGCGATCGGCGGGCAGCAGGTAGGGGCACTTTTGTTCCACGGTTTGGCAGACGCTCAGGCAGGGCCGGATACGGCGGCGCTTACGGAACTCCTCCTTGCGTGTTGATCTGAAGGTAGAGAGGGATAATGTTTTGAATATATACTTTAATTTTAATTCAATTTAATTTAAAAACAATATTTAAAGCCCACATGAAATACTTCATCTTAGAAGTCTCCAATTTAATTTAAATGTAATTCCCAAATTAAAACTCAAATACACCCACCTCTTGTGTAGTTTTGATATCACTGGATCCGTGGCTCTGGGATCCGAATTATTGGCAGTCGATATGAAATTATTGGATTGTTGTTCGGCCTCAGCCTCCTCGGACTCCGCCTGCGCCTCCGCCTCCGTCTCTGGTTCTGGTTCATTGCCGTCATCCATGGCCACTCCCAGGATCTCCTCCTCTCCCTGGTGGCGAGAGTTAGACAGGCCAACAACATCGTAGAATGTCTGGGCCAGGTCCCTGCCAATCGCATCCTCCACACTGTTACTGCTGCTCCTGCTACTGCTGCTGCTGCGGCGGTCATTGTCCTGGCCCGCGTTTGCCTTTGCTCTCGCGTTCGAGCTCTTGTCATGCTTCTGATTAATCTGACGCTCGTTCATGTTATTGCCGTTATTTGATTTATTGTTATTGCTGATTAATTTCAGAGATTTATGCTTGATTCCATTCGCCTCCGTCGCCGTTGACGCCACCTCGCCCCTCGCTGCACTTCTCGCCGAGCGTTTGCTCTTGCCCGCGGAGGATGCTGCTCCCGCTCCTGCACCCGTTGCTGGCGCAACGTCCTTTGGCTCGGCAAAGTATGGCACTAGTGTACTGCAGACCCAGCGACGATATGCTTCCTGCAAAACAAGCAATTGAAAATGGTCATCAATAATGAAAGTCCCTGGGCCACATTTAAATTATTTCGATCTGAAATGGGTTCTCTTTGTGTGCTGTGAGAATTTAATTGAAATTATTGAATTACGGCCCAATTAGGCATTCAAGAGCGGCATGTATTATGTATGCAGGGATATCTCTTTATATATTATTGAGTAGTCTCTTGATACAAGTCCCCATTCGGCAGGCCTCTTAAATATATTATAATTTGGTTTCAACAATAAACTGTTATGGTAGGAATTCTCTTGCCCAAAAATAGCAATGGGAAAGTACAAATAGAATGTAAGAAGGGAAACTAAGTTTGAAGCTACTGAACTTTAAAATCTCTTTAAAAGATGCCTAAGAATATGCAAACTATTTTCACAGCAAACACTGCATACTTTTAGAGAGTTTTTCAAATGCTTTTTAATCTCCAAATACCTGCAATATCAATGCATAGTTTTTTTTTATACCCAGAATGCATTCCCTTTTGCTGACTTATTAACTTTTTGGAAAGACCCACACACACACATGACACGAAATTGCCAATGAAAAGAGTTTTATGTTATTTTTTTTTAGGAAATCTGCTGAATCAATTGCAGCTGCCTGCAATTTATATATATATAAACTTTGCGTTTGTATAAACACCCCTGGAAATTCCCATAGAATGCACACACTCTTCATATTAATTTCGAATCCACCTATCTATCAGTTCATCCATATTTTCCTACCCCCCGCCCTTGTGTCCAAAAGCTTTTCCATTTGCCAGCAAATTTGTTGCCAGGTAGGGAAAATATTTTTGCTTATTCTTTGCCACTGTTGGTTTTTACTGTTTGCTGTTTGTTGCCTGCCACTGTGCCGCCACCACCCTTGTTGTGATTTTCTATTCTGTCAGAACTATTGCCAGTAGTTTTTTGGAATTTCCTGCCCATCCTGGTCCCCTCTGGGCCATAACTGTTGGTCAAAGGCAAATACCAAACAACCAAACTCCACGCTGGCCTGTTGAGAATTTTTGGTTCAGGTGAAATTTTTGCTATTTGCCAACATTTCTGTGGCTATCAATGTGTCTGCACAGCCATTACATTTGCCAGCCAGAACGGAAAAGGGAATTTCAGTTTCAGTTTTCATTGGGGGAATGCGGCAAAAACAAAAATTCAGACAAAAGTCATTGGATTTTTGTTTTATATGTATATTTTATATATGCATTGGAATGTACATTTGTATGGACATTTTTCGGAGACAGTGGCAGGCAAAGGAGCAGAAAATCGGCTCAATATTTATTCAGACCCTTGATTGCCTCAAGTTAAAGTGCATTGATTGTTTAAATCAATTATCAAATTTGGAGCACCACATACACTTGCATTTACATACTATTTAGTAAAACAAAGCACAAAGCTGTTGGTTAGGGTCGAGTGCAAACACAACACTAATTGAATTAACCTCTCCTCGACTCTTGCTCTCCTGGTTTTCAAGCTCCTAATCACGCCCTGGCCTAATAACCGCAAAATCGTGAACCGCATTCATAAATCACGCATACGCACCGTTGCCCTGCGGCCAACTGCATCTGGCAAGGCTAATTGTTTGTGTTGGCCACCGCTGATGATGGTGGTGGTGCTGCTGCTGGTGCTGCTGTCACTGCTGGTGACGGTGTTTGCGGCTGGAAAAACCCAACATTCTGCCACGGTGACAACATGTGGCTTCCATCTGAGGTGGCGCAACGCGCACTCACCATTTGTGAGTTGGCTAAATCGCAGCAAAGCAAATTTAATAATCCGTAGAGAGCCAAGTGAAATTGCTAAAACATTTGTGAGTAGTTCATCAAGAACTATACTCATTTTGTTTTGGCCATGAAAGACAACGACCCCATAAACTCGTCGAGTGTCTGACATTAAACCGCAGATACATACACGAATATATACACGAATGGGTACACTGAGAAAAGTAAAATAAATTTAATCAAACCTGCTTAATTAAACTGTTTTTATAGAGTCTTTAAATATTTATAAATATTTAAACTGTTAATTATATATTTCATTTAAAGATGAAACTCTTTAATTCTTAATCTTAACATACAAAATAATATAAATCTGTTTTTCCTTGTGCATATATATACCATATATCTTGAAACATACCCGCTATGGCTGTTGCCTTGGTTACTTTGAGAGTGGCTGCCCCGCGTGGGCGGGTACGTCATCGCATCTTCACCTTCTCTATACCCCAGCTCGCTAAATTATTATTTAATTACAAAAAAAAAAGATAGAGAGAGAGAGTATTCCCCATTAATAGGACACCGTCCGTGTGTAGTGTTCTTCGCCGAGAAGCCAGCCATGCAGGCAGTGCCACGTGGGGGATAACTCGAGACCCCGGCTGTCACACCTGCTCCGCCTCCAAGGCACTGCACTCTGCACTCGGAGCACTAAATGAGTTCCGACGCCAAAATAAAAAGTCGCACAAGGCAAGAACTCAATTAGGGGCCACAGGTGCAAACTTAATTGGAGCCAGGCGGCAAGGATACGGGCGCCAGGCTAAATACAGGCGAATATCAATCCGAGCTGAAGAAGTGGATTTAAACTCATCCCCGGGCAGACCCCAAAGGGAAGCCATTTAAGCTTGCCTTCATTTAAATGCGGGACGCAAAAGTCATTCCGCACGCAAAATCCCGATTTTCGTCCTTTTCGACCATTACGCCGACATGACACCATCGCCATCATCAGTGTCGTTGGGCACATGAGCATGCAGCCTGCAGCCAAAGGATGACAGCAAGGGTGGTTGGGGGGTGCCTGCGGCAGGATGCTGATCCTGGGGTGCGACACACACACACACACACATGCGGGCAGTAAATAAGCCGGAGTTATGCCCTGCCCATCGATGTGTGACCTTCACGCCGCGCTTCCTGTCGAACTGTCGCCCAGATTGGCCGGATGGAAATGGGCATATAGTAGGATGTGAAATCGAATTTGCGGCTTTAAACTCTGGAAACTGCAAACTGGAAACTCAATATGCGATAATGAGTCGTCGCCGTTGTGTGTGTGCCAGGCTTAATTGTAAATTCGGATTAGGGAATGAAATTCTAATTTCATTTATTCTCCCACCGTCAACAGCAGTTTTTAGCCAGTTTTACAGCCTGGCCATATCAATAGGAATAACGTTTATGGTTGCCCTGTCACCAACCCCACAAATATTGTAACTTTCTTGACTGTCTCGTAAACATTAATGGCCAACCCCAAGGGTTAAGGGTGACGGCAGGACAACAAAGAAAGGAGCAACCTTTGCCACTGACCATCAGTCAGTCAATGACCGTTTCATATGGCAAATAATTGAATTTTTTTGTGTTTGTTGCTGTGTTTCTTTCTTTTTTTACAGAAGAAAGCTGAGCAAATTCTTTTTATATTTGCCAAACGGAGCAGACATTGCGTGTGGGTTGATTTACGAGTTTTCAAATGGCTGTCGTTGCCATTGCCATTGCCATTGCCGTAGTCGGTCGGGTTTTACTATCATAATTTCATAAGCCGTTGAACCAAAAGAAATAACGCAAACATTGCCCAGGCGCATGAGTAATAAAAAAGAAAAGAAAAATAATAAAAATATATAAATAAGCCACAGGGCTGAGTACAAACAACAGGGTTATATTATACCATCTAGAATTATTTGCTTAACCCTTTCTCATTTTCAGTTTAAATTCATGTTTTTTATACTTTTATTTTCTTTAGCCAGTTAAATGCAAAACGCTTTCTTTAGTTTACAAACAATTGTCATTAAAAAGAGTTAATTTATTCAATAAACTTTGGTTAAACAGATACAGAAAAAAGTCTTTTGTTTTTGCTTAATTTGTTAATAACAACAAGCTTTTGGTTTTTCCCTTAAAATCACAAATAATTCCATTAACAAGGGACACTTTTTATGATTGGTTTTACTGATTAAGTAATACCACTTAATATTTTCTTTTAATTGAAAATCAAATACTTTTTAAGGACAGCTTAATTTTCAAGTGCAAAAAGTAACATGAAACCCTTTTGTTTTAACCTTTGTTATTTGCACTAGTTAATAAAGCCAAATTATACACAAAAAGTAAAACGAAAAAAACAAAAAAAACATTACCCGAAAGGACCTCTTTACGATGACCAGCTAAAATGGGAACAACTTTGTTTGCCCTTGCATATTGTTTGCGTTATCGATTCCATTCGCCACCAACAAACCACTCTCTCCACGGCACCAAGTCAATCCGCAGCTCGATTGGCCCGGTTGAGTGTATCAAAGTTTATGCTTCTGCATTGGCCTTCAAATTCATTCGCAAACTGGCTGAGACATAAATATTTTATGGCTTTCTAAGCGCCCTCGTTCTAGTGTGTGTGTGAGTGAGCGCAGAAAAAACCCCAACTTCAGCATGAATTTAATACACTTTCATTGGGGGTCCTGTTGTGGTCCTGGTCAGTGTGTTATGGAAACGTGACTGAATTTGGCAAAGATTTGCGCAGCACACAAAATGCCATGCCCTGGACTATGTAATGTAATTGATATGGGGCACAAGTGCAGAGAAAAAATTTGGGTAGGGAAAAGTTTGATAAATAGTACAAAGAAATCTTGTATAAAATAGGAGAATGTTTATATATTTTATTGGTTTAAAAATATTTCGATATGTCTTGCTTACTATTACTATAAATATTTAATAAAGAACTTACAGAACTTGAAAATTAATAGTCCCGATAAAATTCCTTTCTCAGTTCCAGAATATATCTTATTATTTCTATATATATTTTATTAAAACCCAAAAATTATAAAACCCTATCGAACTTCCTTTTCAGTTCTTTAAAATTTAAAAACTATAGTTTCCCCTTCCTATTTCTCTCAGTGCCCACACACAGTCACAGTTCTGCAGATTGAGGACCTTCGCACATACAGCAGCTAGGCTCGTATGTATGCAAATAAGTTATGATTTGATTTGTACCATTGCAGTAAATTTATGAGTAGTAAGAGCCGGGCATTA